TTAAAATACAATAATTCATTAAAGACTGTAAAATTTATATTAAAAAATAAATTTCAATGAATTTCTAAGTATTACTCCTACATCATTGTTGATTTGTTCTATATTAAATATAAAATTTCAATTTATTTTAATTTACATATCAAATACTGTAATTAATTGCACACATACTAGATATTAACCCGCGGTACACCGCGGGTCTATAATTTTATTAAATAATAATAAAATTAATTTTTTTTAAGATGATCTATAGATATATGCTATTGTTTTGTTTGATTTAAATGTATGGTACACACGATATTTTATAACTAAAGATTTAAAATTTGAAGTTTTATTTGTTTTGTTAATATTATTTGTTTAGTTTTGTTTAGTGTTTAAGATTGTATAGTTATATTTTGATTGTTAATTATAGGATTTCACCTGTAGTATATCATACTGTATTAATATCGACCCCAAATCCGTCCGACCATATAACTCTGTCCCGTGAAATCTACATCATTTTGTCATTTTCCAATAAAATTCAAATATTTCTAATATTCGAAACTTCATTTAATATCGACCCAAAATTCATAATAGTATTTTGATTGTTATATCTAGGATTTCACCCGTAATATACCGTCCCGATTAATATCTTTTGTAAATATTTATAATGTTTAAATTTCTTATAAATTATTATAAAATTCAACTATTTAATATTTGAAACTTTATAAAATTCCTAATATTATAAATATTTAAAACGTTTTATAAAAATAAACTTTTTAAATGTTTAAATAATTATAATATTTTACTTTTAATAAAGTTTAAATGTTTATAATAATTTGAAACTATTTAAAAGTTTCAATAAAAAATATTAGAAAACATTAAACATGAAATACATTGGATAAGAAAATAAAATATATATGATGTGATTGTTAACCATATAAAACATGTAATTGTTGTAAAAGGTTTTAAAAGATTAGAAAAATTACACTTACCAACCAAAACTCGGATCCACAGGTTTTTGTAAAAGTATATATCATAAAAACAATTAAAATACATAACATTAGAATAATGAAAATTAAGAATAAGAACTTTATTTTATTAACAAATTCATTTCCTTTTTACGTTAAAGAAAAAGAGTTTAATAGAATGGACTTGTTATGTTAGCCTATAAAAGAAAATCATTTACATAATGGAAACATGAAATTATGAAAATGTAAAAAAATACTGGACATTAAAAAAAATTCGTATCTGAAGATAAGAAGAAGGACTAACTAAATTTTAATGCATACCTTATTTGATAGTTTCTTTGGAGACGGAGTTGATGATGTCCATAATTTCCAAAGATCTTAAAATCGAAAGCTGCAACATAAGAAAAGTAGGTGACAATTAATTTTTTAAAAGAAAACAAACGTGAAATATAAAATGTACTAAGAACATTGTTTAAAAGAAGCCATATAAATCTCTATTACGAAAACGTTTAGTATTGTGGATCAATGGTTGAAAAGATCTTTTTTATATAGATGAATGAAAAGTACTCGAGAAGTTTAGGTTTGAGGAAAGCTAATTAAAGATATTTCCATTTGTTTTAGGAAGTTTGTTGAATAATATCTAAACGAAACAAAAAAAATCTTTTAAAGATATTTTATGAGAAATAATATATTCGCCAATTTGGGTTGGGGATCAAGTATATGAAAATCTCGTAAATATTATATGTTATATTTATTACATATACTAATTTTCACATTGTAGTTATTTAAATCAAAGATTAGAATTAAAAATAAAAGATTTAGTATTTAGATAAGGAATCTATACTATTAATTGGGAATCATTCTAACTTAAATAACCTTATAAAGTGTAAGATATTACAAAGATTGCCATTAGTTTTTAGTGTTTTTAAATAACTTCATTAAGGGTACAATAGTAATCACAAAATTAATATATTTAAATTAAAAATTGTTTAATTCTTTTAAATAATTATTAATTTCCAAAAAATTAAACTAACTTTTTCTCTCCTATTAATTATAAACGAAAATTTGAAATTAATTTTTAAAAAATTGTTAACCAATGAAAATTGAAAAACTAAGATTTGATATCCCACTAAGATTTTATCTAAACCAATCGTAATAGACTATTCTATATCAAAAATAAAAAGAAAAATAATATCATTTTAATTCAAAATTAAAAACACTATCGTTTAAAAGATTTATCAATGGAGGACTTTAAGATTGAATTTAAAATTTCATAAGAAAACTAAATACAAATATTTTAAGATTCAATTTTGTTATAATATTTTCGCAAATTTTAAAATATAAAACACAATTTTTTTCACAATTTCTAAAATAAGATATTAGATATTAACAACTATTTATATTTACTATGAAATAAACTCAAATAATAATAAATTTAAAGTAATTATCATTATAGCCTTCCACTACAAAAAAAACGCTTGAACACGTCACTTATTCAACATCACTTATGTAAATGACGTAAAATTGAAAAATGGATGGATATTAATAACAGTTACTTAGAGTTAATTAACTTCACGTCAGCCCATGAGACGTTAGTTTTATAACTAACGTAAGCTTTTTTAAGTCACTAAAAACTGACGTAAACCATATACATAATTGACGCCACATGCCGTGTTTTTTTGTAGTGTTCGTTTAGAGCAAGTTTGATAAATATCTAAACTATAGATTGTATATATTAATTTCTAAATTATTTTGCGATTTATTTTTTGTTTTTCAACCGGATCTTCCTTAAATAAATCCCTAATATATTGCACACAGTTTTCAAATAATGTAAACTAATTATATATTTTGAATTCAAAACAAATTATGCAGCAATAGCATATCCCTTTTAGAGATGTATTTCAAATTTTTATTTTTAGTCCAAAAATCAAATTAATTATGATTAAACAATAAAAAGAAGAATATGCAATATTTAGCTAAGGAAAGAAAGATTAATAAATTTGATAAAATATATTCGTAACTTTAGCAACATATATATTAATCTGCAAAACTCACAATATGTATTGTATGATATTTAAAAGTAAGCAAACAAGAATTTGGAACATGATTTTTAATGGAATAAAATGAGAATAGAAATTACGAGACGGGATAGCAGGAGAATATAAATTAAAAAATCAAACTAAATACACAGCTGGTATGAGTTCAGGTTATGAGCACTATATAAAATAAATTTGTTTACATACTGTACGTAAGTTTTCAGTTACACATATTCTATTTATGCCGGATACTGGACTGTCATATTTTTATTTCACGTATACGATACGGGTTATGGGACTAAGAATTTATGACATATACATGACGGGATAGGTTTCCCGTTCCAAAATAGCTACGCCTAGCTAATATACATGAAATATAATCAGTGTTCTAAAAAGCGGTCTAGGCGGTCGCCTAGGCCCCGACTAGGCTCTAGGCTCTCCAGCGACGCCTAGATAACCGCCTTGACCGCCTAAAATTACATACATCTTGTTTAATATATACTTTTTAATTTTAATTAGAGTTTTATTTATATATATAGTTATAAATATTCTTATATTATTTAATATATATATAAATAAATATTTTATCTAGTTTTTGTTTATAATTTCATAATTTTAGTTTTATATAGATATTTTATATAACTTTTATATATAATATCATATTTATAATGTTTTATGTTATAAACGTCTAAACCGCCTAAAAAATCGCCTAGGCTCCGATTAAGCGTTCTAGGCGCTAGGCACTGGGTCACCGCCCGCTTAGCGTCTAGCGCTTTCTTGAACACTGAATATAATCAAACTCAAACCGAATCTATATCCTATTTAACACATATAATCAAACTATTAGAAATGTTTTGATTAGTTTAGAAAATAAAAAAAGTAACATCATTTAACTTTTGCAACTAAATTATATCTTAGTTTTATCTTAAATATAATTTCGCTCGTACGTGTAGGTCAGAATCTTAAAATATAACTATGCACTAACGCAACTGAATTTCGTTCATTACTCTAATTTTATAATATTTATACTATTATAAAATTCACTAACACAACAATATATTTTATATTTTTAAAATCTATATAACAATTTATATAAAAATATTTCTGCACGTAGGTGTGAATCCAGATCTAATACACTAAAATATATATCATAGAAACAACGAAATAATCAATATTGAATTAAAATTTATTAGAATTTTTTTTAAAATATGAAACCCCGCACGTATGTGCGGGTCAAGATCTAGTATACTATAATAAGGATTATTAGTACTCGAATATATTAGGAATATTCGTATTGTTAGTTTATTTAATTCAAAAATTATAATTTGCGGATTTAAAGGAAGATCTTCTCGAGATTTTAGGCATATAATCGAGATTTTAGTAACAAACTGTGATCACATTAAATTTTCGAAAGATTTGTGTCGAAATTGTTAGAAACAAATTAGGATAGATAATGTTTGGTTAGTATCTTTTTAATATTTGCAAATCTTTAGAATTAAACTCATTGACATTATATTGTTGAATTTATTTTTTAAAAATGACGTAATATTAAATAAAAAATAAATAACTAACTATTTTCATTTGATGGTGTAGACAAATTATTATTACTATTTATGTAATTTAATTACAAATAACAAATATTAATTTTTATAACAAAACAAATTATTTTCGTAATAACAATTTTTCCCCAAATCAATCTTTTACAAAATATTTATTTTAATCACATATTCTTTCTATATAGAAATAAATAGTTAAATAATTATGGTTAGAAGTAGTTAAGGTAAATAACAAATATGGTTAGTTTAGATATATTATATATATTTCTAATTTAGGTGTTAATTAATAATTAATGTCATTTTTATTACAAACTTCCTTAAATTTCTTATTCTAGATCCGAATAGAGTTAAACCCGGGTAAAACCCGGATCCAAAAGACTTTTTGCAAAAATCCCCTGTAAAAATATATATGTAGATTTTTTTAAATAATTTAGAAGTTCCAAACCTAGCTAGGTCCATACATCTCCTGGGATCAGCATTTAATAAATTATTTTTCTCAAAGGGAATCGAGCTCGTGTCTTTCTGCTTAAGCTTTCGATTAACCTGAATTTAACCACGTCCCCAACCCCACATTGATGATAGTTAATTGTGCAAATTATCTACTTATTTACATATTTCTATATCCAGGAATTAGTACAATAGTATATTTAAATTTATGATTTATGAATAGCATCATATTGAATATTTAGGTTGACTAGGAGAATAAAAACCCACTCAGCCACTCTCAGTCGTTAGACCAAAAAAATTGAGGAATCAAGAGGAACAACACATCCTCGTCTTATTTTCTAAATTATGATTACTAATTAAATCCCAAAATATCGAACCACATACTAGATTTTGTTGTTTGAATACTTTTGTTTATCCACGAAAAAAAACAAATATTAGATCTAACCCTAATTTCACAAAGTATCACATCCTCCACCGTCATAAAATCGAGCGTGTCAACAAGCAAAAAAGTAACATATCATCCGCAGCGTCTCTTATTTTCTCGATAAATCGACGGAATCCATGTCCGGATTGTTCCCCCCGGCCACCACCAGAGAAATGTCAGGTAAGATCTATCTATCCCTTGGTCGAAATTGTTTATGAGATCTGGATCTAAGCTTATTTGTCATAGTAGTATACTTTTCGTCTATGATCTGGATTAGATTTCATCCCGTACGTTTTGTTTTGTTAAACCAACCTCGCAGGACGTCGAACATGTTGCATATTGGACATGGAGGATTACTCCATCCCAGATGGTCTCTGTCCTCATTTGATTAAAAAGAAAATCAAAACAGCTATGCTTGACTCCGGTTATCGTGGGAACGTGGAGGTCTGGGCTTGCGTTGCATGGTCCGATGAATTGCGTGACAAATTTGAGTCCCACGGAATTTGCGTCTGTCTCACATCACAAAGTGAATAAATCCCTTCACTTCTTTTCTCTCCTATTTTTTTTTTTTTGTATATATATATATATATATGATATATTATTCCAGGGGATAAAGAAGATCAGAGACTTACAATGATATTAGTGGAGCTTCTTTTCTGGGCTTGGAATGCAGGAACATCGAATGTGCTGATACTCTCAAAACACCACGAAGAAATGGAACAATACCCAAGGTTCTCTCGTTTTCGTAAAGCTTTGGAAAGCAAAGGTTACTGTGTTGTGTCAGCAAAGCCTGAGACACTCATAAACCAAAGCATAATTGAAGAGGAACAAAGCGGCAAGCTCAGAGGCTACTTCTGATATAAGTTTTTGGGATTAACTAATATTTTTAAATTCAAGTGGTGACCTTTTACTTGAAGGTGGAATGGTAGTGAACCAAAAGAAAAGATGCATGCAACGATCCGTTGTTAAACTATGGCAGCAGATGGCTGAGTCTTGTGGCTTTGGGATTGAAAATATTAGAACAACAACAACTCTCCTTGACGATCTCAACACTTTGAAGTTCTTTAATTTTCGGAAAATTCACTTCTTAAATATTGGTATTTAACACTTTTCAATTTTATATATTGGGATTTACTTTTCATTTTCACAATTGGTAGGATCTCTCACAAGCACCTTCTTAGGTCTTGTTTAGTTGTATTTATTTGTTTATTAAGGGTTTAGGTTTAGTTTTTTTTTTCCAAAATCCACGTGTAAGCTACCAAAATCTGGACGTTTTATCAATTTCCTATTGATATCAGATTTGTTTTAAGTATATGAGATTTTCTTTAATTTCATTAAAAAAAAATTCATAGAAAGTGGCCGTTTTTTGGCTCTCGAAAATCTGAGAGAACAATTTTAATATTAGCTTCTTAACCATATATTCATAATTTTTATTTATTTATCAAGAAATAGATTTTTCAACAATCAATTAAAATTTTAAAATCTAGAAGTTCATTCAAGACTATAAATATATTATATTAAAAAGTATATTTCAATGAATTTCTAAGTATTACATCATTGTTGATTTTCATATATTTAATAGAAAATCTCAATTTATTTTGATTTACATATCTAATTTATTACTAGTTGACTACTAACATTTTAGGACTTCTTTTGTAAAATAAATGTTCATAAATATTTAATTCTGAACATTTCAGATACGATTAAATAAAATATGTTTATAGGAATAATTGCACACATCTTTTTGATAATTTAGAAGTTCCAAACCTACGTCTATACATTTCTCATAATCGAGACCAACGTTCAATAAATTAATTCTCACAACGAAATTCGAACTCATGTTGAGATTGATCAGAAAAGATCTCTTTGTTCTTATTATAAGATTGTGTGATTGGACCCGCATATGCTTAAACGTTCGACTAACCTGAATTCAACTGCATATGCTTAAGCATATACAAATATTGGGAAATAGACCTGCATATGCTTAAGCGTTTGAAAATTATCTACTTATTTGTTTTTTCTGCTCTAAATATTTGCATGTTATATAAATTAAGATTCTCAAAAATTAGTTTGTGGTTTGGCTCAAGTCAAGATACTTATAACAAGGAAAACCATATTAGCAAATTATAAAGAGGCAGATTTTCAAATACAACGAACTAGTGACGCTTAGATAATTATATAATAAAAGAAATAAAGATCAAACAACTTATATTTGAATTTTTAGGGAATTAACCAAAGATGAAACTTTTAAAACTAAAAAAAGACCCAACATAAACCATAAACAAAACTAATAAAAACAAAAGAAGCAGAAACGAACGATTGAAACATAACTTAAGGAATAACGAGAACGGGTAATACGGTTAAAATTTAAGGACCATGCTTTTCCAAATCTTAAGAAGACCTAAACAAACATGTTTATGATCTTTTTAATCTCAGTGCATGAAGATCATCTGCTTCCACTAGCGTTGGCTTTATGATTCATGTTCATAGTGTTGTTGAAGCTTTGGTTCCACTTGTGTTGATCCACTTGATTTATGCGATAACTTTTAAGATTATCAACATATCCACCAATGGATTGGTTTATCAAAGGGTTACCAATCAAATCATTGGATCCAACATCGTGATAATCTTGTTGAAAAGAATCATCACCGAAATCTAAGCAATCCATTCGAAAACTTCGAACTGGAAGCAAATTTGTCACACCATGAAGTTCACTCAGATAACCGAAATGGTTACCAACAACAGCAGCAATAGAAGAAGATGAAGCACCAAAAGATCGAACAAACTCGTTGTTTTCATAAATCTGTTTGAAAGGTTGATGATCAACTCTTCTGTTCTCAACGGAAACCATTTGAGAAACCAAAGATTGATCTACCTTCGGACGCTTAGGTTTACGACAACTTCCACCGATTGGTATGTTCCTTAAAGCCCCACCATGAGTCCAATATCTACGACAATTCTTGCAGAAGTAGCGCGGTTGAGACTCACTGTAGTTGTTGTAATAGCAAAACTTAGTGTTATCAGAATCACACCTTGGACACACTCGCGGTGGGGGTGGGGGTGGCTTCACACCATCCACTTGATTGTCTTCGTTTGCAAAAACATTCAAGTTATCCATTTCTCTCAAGAAGTTGTTGATTTTCTCTAAGAAAGAGAAGACTTAAGTTATAAGATCTTGTTGTTGCTATGATCTTTTGTGTTGTGGAAGGTGTATTCTTATATAGGTTCTTGGGGCGTGGAAATTTAAGAATTTAGGAGATTGTTGATTTAGGAGAGTGAGATTATGAACAAAACGTGTCAAAGATTGTGGTTTAATAAAATCTGAAAATCTATCTACACACCATAAACCTTAGGCTAAGCTTAGTCAAAAACCAAGGGTTAACTCTTGTCTGTATGTGAAAACTTTTAGAATCAAGAAGATTTTCAGATTAGAAAATCACATATAAACAGAAAAAAAAATCTAGGAACATATATTGAGAGTGTAATGACAATTAATTAAAGTCAAACCAAGCATATGTTGCATGTATATTTACTATTAGAGAGAGTATGTGAAAACGTGTGTGCTCACGTTGTATATGAAAACACGTGTGTTCATGTTCTATCTCATGATGCGTGATTGTTTTTTTTAGAAAGATCTTTATATGGTTTTTTCATCTTTAATTTACATATATACAAAATGGTGAGAACATAAAAAGTTTAGTAAACAACAATATACCCAATACCAAGTTTAGTTTAAAAAAAACATATAACCTAATTTTTGAAATCCACAAAATGCTTAAATAATTACTTTTATTAAGGATTTAATAATGAGATTTGAGAAAACAAGAAAGAAAATGTGTGCCAGCCAGTAGAGTTTAACGCATATGCTCTCATTGGCGCAATAGAAAAATTGATTACAGTATAAAAAAAGTTGCTTATAAATTCTTTTTTAATTGGATACAACTATTAAGGATAGAAAGGATTTAAGTATACAACAAGACCCAAAATCAAGACAACAAGCAATTCAATCATAATAGAAAATTAAAAAATATGAAAGAACAAAGAAGCTCATCTTCGACAAAGCACCTAGTGATTTGTTTTGAGAAAAAAAAAAAAAGATAAGTTTGTTAGCGCATATATACATTCACGCCTAGTTCTCATTGACGCATCAGAGAAATGTCATAAATAATTATTCTAGAATTTTACCACATTGAAAATGGATCACAAGTTGGGAGAAGAGAATGGTTAAATAGGAAATAATGCCTCGGTATCACAATGACAACAAATTCAAGTATAACAAGAACTTTTTATAATATACAAGTATTTATAACATAATTTCAAAAAAATCGGAAAAACACCTATAGATAATTAACTAGGGATAACAATATCTTACATTGGAAGTTAAACATAATCTTAAATGATATATATAAGATATTGGCAAATTTATTTATTGCCAATTGGTTTTGAATGAGATGCTTTTTTTTCTCTTTTTGAGCAAAGAGTGGGATGTTGTTATCCCTAATACTCTCTGTTGGGAGAAACAAAAGTAGTGTACCCCACAACAGCACTACTCAAGTTAAACTTTATGACCTTCGGACATCAAATCTTCAATGGTGTTCGAAAACGTTTTAGCCGCTTTGGCATATAGTTTTCGCTGGTATCGATCCTCCCTCCATTTCTTTGATCCGTAAGCTGAATCAGCCCTCGAGTCTCTAGCGTTATATAGAGGATCTCTTCCCTGAAAATAAACCAAACAGGATACAACAAACTGAGGTTAATAGCTTGACCAACACTTTAACCTAAGAAAAACATACATAATCTCTTTAACCGGACCAAACCTGATTCAAAATTGGAGTCACAGCGATTTCTTTTCAAACCACTCCTCGTATTTTCTAGCTTCAGCTTTCGGATGATTGAAACCAAAAGAAAATTACAAAGAAAAACTCGAATCCCAATTTTCAGTTTTCAGCAACCACAGTAAAACAAATTCAGTGACGAAGGCAAATGGAATGGTCGACAATATCAAGAAAAAAGAGAGAAATACATGTTAATGTTAGAACACATAAAAATCATAGACAATAAACACGTTACATATATATGGAAACCAAACATCAAATCTCCCTTGGATATGTCTTCTTATTGTCAAGACGTTGTGAGCTTCCGTTAGGGCCATCGAATAGGCTAGTCAAAAACCATGTATGCCTTTCACTAGGAATTTGCCATCGTGGTTGAGTTTGGGATGAGAGAATACCATGACGTCTGATATCCAAACTACAAAGAAGATTACCAATTTCATCTCCGATGTTTTTTGCGAGTAAAATCACATTTGTTGGTGTAGGACTTTCAAATGCCCACAAGAGCATGTCCAAAAACATGCTACGAATTCTCGCATCTTTACCCCCTGCGAAAAAGTATATAGATATCAACATAGATCTCTAGATATTACAGTAAAGAAATAATTAATTCACCTAGGGGAATGAATTCGATATGGAACCCAGCATCCTCATATTCACGTCGCAATTCATCGGAACATTTATCAATGTAAGCATGGATTGACACATCCCTATCACAACCGCTTCTTAAAAGCCTCTTGGATATCGAGATAAAACGAAGCAGGATCAATACCATCTGGGATTGGGTAATCCTCTACATCCCAAAACACACATGTCTTACCATCTGATTTCACAAACGAATAAATTAGATCTAATTATCATATATAGGGTTAACAATTTCGAGCAAACGAGAGAGAGATCTTACCAGCGTGACGTATCACCGATTGGTTGTCCATGGTTTTGTCGAAGAACTGCGGTTGAGAGAGAGACTTTTTCTGGATTTAGGGTTTGTCCCCTAACCGGTCGTATGACGTGTAAAGCTACCAAAATCTGGACATTTGTCAATGTCCTTGTTATAAGAGATTTGTTTTTTTTTCCTTGGTTTAAGCATATGAGATTTTATTTAACTTCGTTAAATATTTTTTTTTATTTTATTCAAGAAAGTGGCCGTTTTGGCCTCGAAAATCTGAGAGAAAAGGTTGTAACTATTCATTTATGTTTTTATTCGGTTCTTAACCATATGTTCATAATTACCTAATAATAAATTTATTTATTTATCAAGAAACACATATTTTCAACAGTAAATTATAATTTAAAATCTATATTCATGAAAGATTATATATGTTATATTAAATATATAATTCAATGAACTTCTAAGTATTTACATCATTGTTGATTCGTCATATATTTAATGAAAAATCTCAATTTATTTTTATTTACATATGTACTTTATTATTAGTTGACTACTAAATTTTAGGACATCTTTTGTAAATTAATACTGTATTGGTTTATACTTAATTTTGAATATTTTAGATACTGTTAAATAGTTTTTAGAAATAATTACACACGGATTTTTCTTGATAATTTAGAAATTTCAGACCTACTATGTCAGGTCCCGTGCTTAGCAACCCGACTCATGAGTTCAAACACCACTCCTCTAATTTTGGTGATCTCAAACCTCCATGAGCAAAAATCTTTTCAATTCCGGTCTGATAGAGGCAAATGTGTTAGAATTACACAAAACTATACTAGAAATATTGTGTTATTCTGTTATCTTCGTAAACGGCTACACATACATATATATGTAGGATTTAGGATACATTACCCTAGTCTCATATTGAACCTAATAAAGCCCATATCAAAGGTCCGATCTGATTCTAGTCCAAAGCCTAATATCAAAGGCCTGATCCAATCCTATTACCCCGCTCAAGTTGGAATGGTCTATGAAAAACACCCAACTTGCCGAAAAAGGAATTTTTTTTTGAATTTGAAGCACCTTCTGCTGCTTCGATCCTCACAACAACTTGAGCGCCTTCCGCAGCTCCTTGATCTTCTTAACAGGTTGAGCGCCTTGTGCAGTTTTTTGATCTTCACAACATTCTGAGCGTCTTCCGCAGCTCTGACGACTTTAACAACGATCTAAGCGCCTTTTGTAGCTTTGACCTTTACAACAGTCTGAGCACCTTCTGAATCTCGGATAACCTTGAACAACAGTCCGAGCGCCTTCTGCAGCCCTAACGACTTTAACAATGATCTAAGCGCCTTTTACAGTTTTGACCTTTACAACAGACTGAGCGCCTTCTACAGCTCGGATAACCTTGAACAACAGTCTGAGCGCCGCCTTCTGCAGCTCTGATAACTTTAACAACGATCTGAGTGTCCCACAACTCTGACCTTAACAACACTCTGAGCCCTCTATGCAGCTCTGACTTTAACAATGGTCTGAATATCTTTCGTAACTTTGATGACCTTAACAACGGTCTGAGCCTCCTACAACTTTGACCTTAACAATACTCTGAGCGCATTCTGCAGCTCTGATAACTTTAACAACGGCTTGAGCGCATTTCGTAGCTTTTATGACTGGACCATATAAACCCCTCCCCCCCCCCGCCCCTCCTCAAGTTGGAGTGTGTATATTAGACCACCCAACTTGCTGAAGGAAACAAACAAATTTCTGATGACAACCCATATGATGTCTTCTTTGAAGCCCATTCTGTAGCTTCTTTGATGATTACCCAAGCAATAGTCCAAGTGTTGACCACACGATCGATGACCTTCCACGACTAGCAATATCACGAAAATCCTAGTAGATCTTCAAAAATATCCATAAACGGAATAAACTTGCTCCTCAACTTTTATCCTTTCCATATGTTGATTCGGAGAATATTTAGTGAATCTTCGAATGAACAACCACACCAAGAACGCGCCACGTCAGTACCTCGCAAACTTATGATACAGACTCATGTTGACATCAACTGGATGTGTTCAACATCAGCTTGTTGTTTCAGAGTCGAAACCCTGTAGAACCAAACAAACGTCACAAACTCACGTCGAGTTGTGGAAACACCAAAAACAGAGACTTCTTAGGTACTCTTAAAATCTATTTATGAGGCCCCAACCGTCATTTGCCAACCATGAACACGAAGACGAACGTCTGATCCCAACAACTAGTTGAGCCAAACCATTGAAAAAACGAACAGAGCTGTCCTCGAGGAACCGAGTCGATGAACCTCCTACGACCACCACCAAACATCTCCTCGGATCCACGCGCCGGAAGACTCCAACCACCAACCAGAGGCCATATAAAAACAAGGACCACCGTAATCTTCTGAAGATAGAGCACAACAGACAAGATGACATCTAAGGAGGACCAGCTAATGAAAGAGAATCCTTCCCTGGTGCTGAAAGGGAAAGCCGAAGAGGCGACATCGAGCAAAGATCTAGATCTAGGTTAGAGAGAAGGGAGAGCGTATGCTTTAAATACTTTTCCGACGTAGAAATTTTCTTTGCTCTAAATATTTGCACGTTATATATTTTAATATTCTAAAATATTAGTGTGTTGTTTGGCTCAAGTTAAGACACATTAGTGAGGAAATTTGTAGTACAACGAATTAGTGACACTTAGATAATTATATATTAGAAAGAAAAAAGATAAAACAACTTATGTTTGATTTTTTAGGGAATTGAACAAAGGTGCAAACTTTAATAACTAAAAAAAACACCAACCGAAACCATAAACAAAACTAAAATGTAAAAAAGAAGCGAAAACGAACAATGACAGAAACTTAAACTTAAGAAATAGAGAACGGATAATACGGTTAAAATTTAAGAAGACCTAAATAAACATGTTTCTGAATCTTGTTCATCTCAGTATCTGAAGATCCTCCGCGTCTACTCGCTATTGCTCTATGATTCATATTCATATTGCAACTTGGGTTGATCGTTGTGATTATCAATATTTCCACCAATTGATTGGTTTATCCAAGGATTACCAATCAAATCATTAGAACCAACATCATATAAATCTTGTTGAAATGATTCGTCACCGAAATCTAAGTGATCCATTGTTAGAAAACTTCGAGTTGGAGACAAATTTGCTACTCCATGCAGTTCACTAAAATAACCGAAATGGTTCCCAATAGCAGCAGATGAAGAAGAAGCATTAACTGAAATGTTTTCTTGATTTTCGCTGAGAGGTTGATGATTACTCGGTTGAATCTCAACAGAAGCCATTTGAGAAACTGAAGATTGATCAATCTTTGGAAGCTTGGATTTACGGCAACTTCCACCGATTGGTATGTTCCTTAAAGCTCCACCATGAGTCCAGTATCTACGACAGTCCTTGCATTTGTAGCGTGGTTGAGACGTTTTGTAGTTGTTGAAGTAGCAGAATTTTGTTTGATCGGAATAACACCTTGGACATACTCGTGGTGGGGGCTTCACAACATTCACTTGATTGTCTTCATTTGCAAAAACATTCAAGGTATCCATTTCTCTCAAGAAGTTAGTTGATTTTCTCCTAGAAAGATAAGACTTAAGTATAAGATCTTCTTGTTGCTATGATCTTTTGTGTTGTGGAGTGTCTTCTTATATAGGTTTTTGGGGAGTGAAAATCTAAGAAGAGTATGTTTTGGGTTTAAGGAAGGGAGATTATGAGCAAAACGTGTCAAAAGTTGTGTTTCAATAAAATCTGAAGATTTATCTACACACAATAAACGTTAGGTTAAGCTTAGTCAAAATCTAAAGGTTAATTCTTGTCTGTATGTGAAAATTTTGAGAAAATGATTAAATGAGAAAATCACATAATCAGGAAAAAAATCTAGGGAACATTGAGAATATAATGACAATTAATTAAGTCAAACAAACATATATGTCATGGATATTTACCAATTAAAGAGAGTATGTGAAAACACGTGTGCTCACACGCTATATAAAATACGTGTGCTCACGCGCTAGATAGGTTAGGAATGTTAAATAGGTATATTGACCATGGGATAAATCAATCCAAATTGTAATGGTCCGGTTACAGTTACACCTAGAACCACAACGGTCTATGGACTAAAAACCAATATAACCCGCAAACAAATGGAACAAACTCATCTGGACATAGGCCGTCTCATAAGTTTTTTAAAATAGAGTTTCTTGCAAATGCAAAAATATAGGATCTGATTTTCTCATTGATTCTTCTTAGTTCTTATTCTTCGCATTTTATTTTCACGCTAAAACGTGATTCTATGTTTTTCCGCTAAAAATATGATTTGTTATTTTCCTCCAAAAATATGATTTCCTATGTTTTGACAGAAAACACATTTTTGCGGTTTTTACGGGAAAATATTTTTTTTTATTTTTGGCGGAAAAATGTGATTTTGCGATTTGGAAAAAGAACATAATTTTTTTATTTTGGCAGTTTATATTTTGTGGTTTTGGCGGAAAAATATGATTTCGCGGTTTTGACTGGAAAACGTAATTTTCTGTTTTGGCGAGAAACATGATTTTGTGTTTTCTTGTGTGATTGTGTTTATGTGTTATTTGGATCCTATGGACAGTTCAATTGATCATAATCGTCATATTTAGGTTTGGTCTTATTTGAACATGATCCAAATTATTTGGGCTTTCACCGTCGATGTCTAAAAAACGAAATTATCCATTTGGACATGTCCATTTGAACATGTACACCCATTTGATATCTCTGCGTAATATATATTTTTGGTAGAAATCTCTTTATATGGTTATTCTTTGGTAGAAAAAAAAATTATTATAAAAAAATTAATGTTCTTATAAACTTATTTATATTAGATAAACTGTTGAGAATAGAAAAGATTAAAGTATACACCAGTACTCAAAATGAAGACAGCAAGCAATTCAATCATAATAGAAAACTAAAAAATGTGAAAGAAGCTCATCTTCGACAAAGCACCTAGTAATTTGGTTTGAGAAAAAAATACTATAAGTTTGCTAAACATTTACAACTAGTTCTCATTGGCACATCAGAAAAAATGAATTGTAATATTTGTATAGAAATTTTCCACATTTAAGATGGATACAATTGGGAGAACAGAATTATTATATGGGAAATAATACATCGTATCACAATGGTGACAAATCCAAGTATAACAAGAAGTTTTTATAATGCATAACATAATTTCAAAAATCGGAAAAAGAACACCTAGATAATTAGCGTAGGGACTTATCAGTGATTTGCTGAGAGAGAACTGTTGATAATTAACTTAGGGGACTTGGTGTTCAAAAAAAAAAGAAATTAACTTAGTGACTTAATAGTGATTTGTTGAGAGAGAAAAAAAAAATTAATGTACCTGAACAACACAGTACTCAAATTAACTTTAATCGAAATTGAGATTGACAGAAATAAATAGAAGCTTACTAATTGTGTAAATAACCATAGATTTATTATTTATATACTAATGCATCTCACATTGTCACATACATGAGATCAAGCGTAGTTTTAAAACAGAGAAGAAACTGAGAGAAAACAGAGCATTACATAAAGTTATAACATTTCAGAACGCATAGGCAACTTTATTTCCTCATCAGTTAAATGTTATGAAATCGTCCTCTTTTTGATCTTTCTCCGCCTTTTTCTTCTTCGTATGATCTTCCACGCCTTTATCGATATCAGCCCGTGCCTTCTTCGCATCCTCTTCAGGCCCAACCACAGCTTCAGTGACGGTTTGGGCAGCGTTTTTCGTACTCTCCCAAGCTCCTTTCACCGTCTCCTTGGTCTTCTCTCCAAGTTCCTCAGCTTTACCCTTTACAGTCTCCTTAAACCCTTCTGCCCTCTCCTTAGTATCTTCTCCATACTCTTTGACCTTCTCTTTCGCATCTCGAGCTTTCTCCTTTGCATTGTCCATTGTATCTTCTGCGTAATCCTTAGCTCTTTCTTTTGTATCTTCCGCTTTATCCGCTGCCTTAGACGCGCCTTGGTTCACCTTGTCTTTAGTCCGCTCAGCATAATCCTTGGCCTTCTCTTTTGCATTGTAGGCTGTATCCTTTGCTTGCTCTTTAGTTTCGTAGGCTTTATCCTTTGCTTGCTCTTTTGTCTCGTAGGCTTTATCTGCAGCTTTGCTTGCTCCTTCGTTAGCCTTGTCTTTAGCTGATTGGGCATAGTTTTCGCCGGTATCCTCCCTCCATTTCTTTGACCCGTAAGATGAATCAGCCCTCGAGTCCCTAGCGTTATCTAGAGGATCTCTTCCCTGAAAATAAACATAACAAGGTACAAACTAGGGTTAAAAGCTTGGCCAGCACGTTAACCTAAGAAACACACACATAATCTCATAAACCGGACCAAAATCTAGTCTAAGCTAGGATACACAACAACTGCTATGAGTACTATGCAAAAAATGTATCGATATCTTAAATCCAGCCCCAGGACCGGCTCGGTAATTTTAATATATTATAAATGGACTTTAAAACGTTATTTGCTATTTTGTTACGGCTCATGTGATACTTGAATCAAAACTCTTAACATGATCACATACATAAGAACTAAAAATTATTCTAAAAATCGTGACCTCGTTTTGGCTAACGGAGGAGGCGAAGCAGACGCGAGAGACTTTCCGGGTAGAAGCAACGAGAGTAGGCGGAGCTTTGATTCCAGGGAAAGCCTTTGAGAGACCAAAGAGAGCGGTTCTTGTTAGTTGCATGGCTGCCATTTTCATCAAATCAAGAAAAACAAGATTTTCTTCGAATGCAAAACTTAATTTTGCTATGATTCAATTGGATTGAGATCCTTTTGTCTTCTCTCTTTATCTTCGAGGTCGGTTTATCTAATACGTTGCAGCTTATAGATCCATCAGCAAGAGAAGCTGGCAACCTAAGTATCTGACACGTGTGGGTGGAACGACACGTGTTAACAGTTTTGGTTTCTACGGTGAATTGTTACGAAACGCACCGGTTTAATGTCGGTAATAACCACTTACGAAGAAGACAAATTGAACCGCTAATGAAATTGTATGTTTCAAGCCACATGGGTTTTTTATCAACCCAATTTGACTTCCAATAATAAAAGGCCCACTAGAATCTTTCTTCTTGGAAGACAAGTTTCCTTTTACTCTTTTAATTTGCTGTCAAAATATAATAAAATCGAAGGTCTGGGCAAAGAAGAATTCATCAGTTTCCGACGTACACCAAACCCTAAACCACACCCATATCCTCTCGTCGATAGAAGTAAGAAATAAAGCTTTTTCTTCGATCTTTGTCGATTGATAAACACTAGTTGCAGTCTTCGTTATAAGATTAGAGAGAAATGGAAATCTATTGCAGTTTTTCGGTTGCGGAACCCTAAATCCGTCTGGAAACCCTAAGTTTGAGGAATCGGCCTTGTCTTCTGAAAATTTATGATGTCGTGTATGAGCTATGAAGTGGGATCGTTATTTTTTTCTAGTAATCAAAATATTTGATTCCGATTTCGTTTATACATAATACATATCATATCGCTTCCTTGAGTAAACTGAAACTGCTTAAAAACATGGTTTGGATTTCAGATGAAATTTTAGTAGTCTCTCTAGTCTCTATGCATTCAGAATATTGAAGGTTAGGACAACATTTTCTCTATACAGTTGAGATGGCTCTACAGGAGCAGCTAAATAAGTTCAATAAACAGCAAGAGAAATGCCAATCTACGCTTTCGAGCATTATTGCTTCTTCAAGAACGGGGCCTTCGAGGTCATCCGTACCTGCAGCAACAACCAGTCAGAAGCCTAATGCAGTTCGTGGCAAGTTTTCAGAAAATACAAAGCAGCTTCAGCACATTAACAACATAAGAAACAGTGCTGTTGGAGCTCAAATGAAGCTTGTCATTGATCTTTTGCTTAAGGTTTGTGTCTCCTCTCTTTGTTGTTGTTTATTTCTTCATATGAGCTTAAGTTATATAATAAAGTTGATTTGTCTTGTAGACAAGGCAAGCCTAGCTATACGGCGGAGCAAATAAATGAAGCTTGTTATGTTGATATGACTGCCAATAAGGCTGTTTTTAATAGTTTGAGGAAGAATCCGAAAGTGCATTATGACGGAAGATCAAGGTTCTCTTATAAGGTAATTCCTAAAAATTTTATTTCAAGGTGGATTTGTTTCTCATTTTCTCTTTGAATTCCACTCGTTTACGATTCTTCTCTGCCCTCATGTCGACACAGGCTACGCACGATATCAAGGACAAGAAGCAGCTTCTTTCGTTTGTGAATAAATCCTCTAATGTGATTGATGTGGTTGATCTCAAAGATGCTTACCCTAATGTCATGGAAGATTTGCAGGTATGCATTGCATTGTTTTGGGAATATACACAATGTCCTGTGTTTTGTGTTTGAAGATTGTCTTTGTGTTTTGCAGGCTTTGAAAGCTTCAGGAGACATCTTCTGGTTGCCATCAAACACTGGTTCAAAAGAGGGTATTGTGTATCCAAATGATTTAAAGTATCCGAAGATTGATGACGAACTTAAAGCTCTTTTCCGCGACATAGACATTCCGAGCGACATGCTTGACGTGGAGAAGGAGTTGCTGAAGATTGGTTTGAAGCCAGCCACAAACATTGCAGAGAGGAAAGCTGCTGAACAGCTCCATGGCGTATCGAATAAACCGAAGGATAAGAAGAAGAAGAAGAAACAAGAGATCAGCAAGAGAACCAAACTCACCAATTCCCATATTCCCGAGCTCTTCCAGAGCCTTAACGCCAGCAGTTCTGGGAACTAAACCTCTTTGTCTCTGGACCTCTTATTTTTCTACTCGAAGTCTCTGTACTAATATAAGCAAGTCACTTTCTCTTTACTAATATAAAAGTAAGTGCTTGATTAATTAGAGTTTGATTTAGTAACTGAGACTACTTAGTTTTTTGACATACTGGTTTAGTAATGTTGATGTAATTAGGTGATCACTTGTTCTTTTCCGACGAGGATTAGTGATTGTACATTGAGAAGCAGCAGAACAATCGATCCATCTCGACATTATAAAATATTATTTTTTATGTCAAATATTACAAAAGAATTTAACTCAATGTATCAAACATTTTGATTGTTTGTCAAAACTGAAAAATCAAACATTAATCGTGGAACCAAACCGATCTTCCATGTGGGTCTTGAACCGGTCTTGAATTTGTCTCAAACCCCTATTCAGTTGGTTAATTAATTAGTAACATACAATACCAAATCAATATCACCTAATGAAATTACCTTAGCAATTTCGACTACTTACATCGTCAACGGCTTCCCTCAGAGCTGTAATTTGCTCCTTTGATATTGTGTTCACCTACATACACCAAATTAATAAAAATTATCTAAAAATGATATATGTAATGTATAAAGAAGACTATTAATTATAACTGAAACGAAAAATACAATACCCTTTTCTCGACAGTCCAAATAACGCCTTCGGTGCATGGAGGAATAGTGAGAGAGCCAATGTATCTATAGAAGTTGTTGGTTTCAAATCTAATATCTCGAGGATCCACAATTCCTAGATTCATCTCTTTTTTTCCTACTCCTTTTATTCCATTTAGTAGCTGCAAGTTGTCAAATAACAAATCATCAAACAAAATTTATTTGTTATTTGTACCATTCCTTTCATAAGATGTTTATGGTGAATTCGCGAGTATTAAAAAAAGATATTGTATCAACTACCTCTCTATGTTTGTTTTTAACCTTTGGTACGAATATTAATTTACTTCTAGAGTTTAGTATACCTTTGTGAGGAATTCATCAGGTTCACCTAATTTATAAAGAACTCCAACCACTGCGGTTTTGCCACTAGCACTCGTGTGAACCATGTGAAGCTCTAGGTCGTAACTGTAACACATTTTAGAAACAAATTAATATGTTCATATTCTTTTTTTTGGAAAAAATCTAACGTAACCGAATTTTTTTTTGTGAACCCACAGACCTAGTTCCGTTAATGGTATGCTCAGACGGTGAATGCCAATGGCACTGCACCAATTTATAATCCGTTTGATGTATTGTTATTTTTCCTGCATCTTCTTTCCACGATACCTTCAGGAGAAAAAAGATTTCAAATGATTAGTTTAGTAATATTAATATAATCAAGTGATATAACTAAATTGAAAGAAAAGTTTTACCATAACGTCATGTCCTCTACTTTGAATTACAGCCAAAGCTGGTTTGTAATGTATACTCAAGGCTTGGTCATGAATAAGACTGACTCTTTCGTCTGTGAGATCAATCGGAGATTGAAATTTTCCCGTGCTACAAACTTTCCATTGAGGGTTTAATTTGCCCCATTCCGCTGGTCCTTTTTCTGTTTTTTGTTTGTATGTAAATAGTGGTTTGTTGCCTGTTTTCGAAATAAATTAACAAAATCATACATAAACCAACATTTTAATACCAAAAGATGAATTTTACTAGAATAAAACAGAGATGTAGTAATCATACCGATTTCACGAGCATAGACGAGTAAAATATTGGGAAAAAATAAATCCATGAAAAACACTACAAAAAAGAAAATTGTTTTTGTGTTGGGATCCATTTTTTCTTTCTTTTGAGATTTGATTTTGCTTAATGTTCTTGAGTATGTTTTGGACATTGAAAGGGTTTGGATATAACCTATTTAAAAGTACGCTTTAGGGGAAGGTTTGTTTTAATGTTCTTTTATGACTTTTGCAGTTGCTGCAGTTATTAGTTAATTGTTGTATTTTATTGGAAAATAATAACTGAATGCTTAGTGACAAAAAATAAAACAGTTCATTTTTCTTCTAATTTGGGATTTTATAGTAAAGAAATGTGAAATGACAATTTAACAAAGGAGAAAACCGTTAATCTCATTCATAAAAGAATCTGTTAAACGACCCTTACAAACAAAACTTCCCTTACAAACAAAACTTGACTAGCTAGTAGTATTCATCAGAACTTCTTTTAATTTGATTTTTTTTGGTTTACTAAAACATAATTAAAGTCAAACAAAAAAATAGTTTTGTTTTAAATCTCTCTATGTGTGAGAGATAGGTCAAATCTATACATTGTTTTAAAAATTACACATAATGTCTGATTCTCATGCTTCCGTAAACTATGTATTTTTTTTCATTTTCACTTTCGTAGATAAATAATAACAATAAACTTGAGATATATATAAGTTACTGAAAAAACATATAGTTACGGAAACCCTAAATGAGTAAATGTAATATAGGCTGTTTTGGCCTTCTTCTCCTTAAGTTTTACGTCCTTACGATACTGATCTTCCTCGATCTCTTGCTCGCAAGGTTCGGCAATTCTCTCGCTTCTTTTTATGGATGTTAATTTGCGATTCTGATTGGCTTATTTAGCATTTTCACCTTCAATCGACTGTAATCTTCCTTTGTTTGATACCTCTGATTTCTACCCTGTCGAATGAGAGATGGTAAAACCAAGACAAATGAATGATTAGCTATTTTGTCACGTGATTATCGTATTAGGGACTAGTAGATTCTTCAATGATGAATATGTCAAAAAAAAAACATTTCTGAAAGAAAGTGCTATTAATCGAATGTATTAATCCTATTGATGGAATACATTAAATGTATTAAATACGTCAGGAAATGAAAAGGGTTTGAAGGAACAAATGATTCCTCTCGCCGAGATTGATGGAATACATTAATCGCCGAGTTTCAAGTTTTTATACTGTGCTTGATTAGAGTTTGATTTAGTAGCTAAGACTGCTTGCTTAGCTTTTATATGACAGACTGTTTTAGCAACGTTGATGTAATCAGGCACTTGTTATTTTCCGATGATGATTATTAGTGGATTACTAAAGGTATATTTAGAACCAGCAGAAGAACATTACTGATTGAGAAAAAAAAAAAAAAAATATATATATATATATATATATATATATATATATATATATATATATATATATATATTTACCCATTAATTGTTTTCTTAATTAAAGTTCGAAAAAATCTCGATATTACAAAATGATATTTTGTAAAAAGGGTATAAATTACAAAATAAATAGAAATCAATATATCAAACATTTGGATCATAGAACCAAACTGATCTTCCCTTTGAGTCTTGAACCGGTCTTGAATTTGTCTCAAACCCCTATTGATCAGTCAATTAATTAAATTAGTAATAAAACTAAATCAATATTAGCTAATGAAACTACATTAGCAATTTCGACTACTTACATCGTCAACGGCTTCCCTCAGAGCTGCAATTTGCTCCGTTGATATTGTGTTCACCTACACGCAAATACAAAAAATTACTGATGTATTTTGCAATTGGAATAGTGAAAAAAATGAATATGTAATATATGCATAAGAAGAAAATTACAATAAAAATGAAACAAAAAGTATAAATACCCTTTTGACGACAGTCCAAATAACGCCTTCAGTGCAAGGAGGAACAGTGAGAGAGCCAATGTATCTATAGAATTTTCTGGTTTGAAACCTAATCTCTCGAGGATCAATCATCCCTAGATTTATCTCTTTATTTCCCACTGCTTTTATTCCATTTAGTAGCTGCAATCATTTTTTTCGAAAAATTACTAATCGTCAAACACAATTTTTATATATACGATCTTTTAATAAAATATATTTATTAGTATTATAACCTTTGTGAGGAATTCATTAGGTTCCCCTAATCTGTAAAGAACTCCGATAACCGCAGTTCTGCCTCGTGCACTCGTGTGAACCATGTGAAGCTCTAGGTCGTAGCTGTAATAATGACAAATTTCGTATAAATACCACTTATGGGCTTATGAAGGCCCATTAAAAATGAAAACAACAAACCTAGTTCCGTTAACGGTATGCTCAGAGGGTGAATGCCAATGGCATTGCACCAATTTAAAATCCGTTTTACGTATTGTTATTTTCCCAGCATCTCCTTTCCATGATACCTTTAAGAAACAAAAAGATTTCAAATGATTAGTGTTGAAATGCTAATATAATTAAGTGAGGAAACTAAATTTATAATAAAGTTTTACCATAATGTCATGGCCTCTATTTGTAATTACAGCCGGAGCTGGTTTATATTGTCTTGTCCATGCTTGATCATGAATAAGACTGACTCTTTCGTTAGTAAGATCGATCGGCGATTGATATCTTCCGGTGTTACAAACTTTCCATTGCGGATTTATTTTTCCCCATCCCTCGGGTCCTTTTTCTGTTTTTTGTTCGTATGTAAATGGAGTTTCGTCGTCTGTTTCCGGATTAAATTTTTAAAAATCAATCATAAATTTGAATTTTGATACAAAAGATTAAATTTACTTGAATGAAATAGAGATATAGTAATCATACCAACTTCCGTATGTGCGAGTGAGATATTAGGGAAAGATAAATAGATGAAAAACATAGCCAAGAAGAAAATTGTTTTCGCGTTGGGATCCATTCTTCTCTTCTTTTGAGATTTGATTTTGCTTATCATGTTCTTGACTATGTTTTGGAGATTTGAAGGGTTTAGAGACAACCTATTTAAGAGGAGGCTTTTGGGGGAGGTTTGTTCTGCTGTTCTGTTATGGTTTTTGCCGTTGCTACGATTATTAGTTAAAAATCTGATGTTACTATTGGAAAAATGAAAAAAACTGAATGCTTAGTGAAACCATTTCGTTGGGTTTTCTAATTTGGGGTTTAATAGTAAATGTTTGTGAAGTATGACATTTTAACAGAGAACAAAACCGACCTGGACAATAGAATCAGCTCTTTCATAATAGAATATGCCAAACGACCAAACAAACAAACAAAACTTGACTGCCAAATTATGAAGTTACATAATTTCTTGTTAACTTTTTTTTTTTAATTGTTTTCATTAAAATACCAAGGAAACAAAATAACTTAAACCATAAAATACCAAATTTAATAAAACTAATGCAAAATGAGTTAAGACAATTTGGCGGGTATAAGAGCCACAGTAAAAAAAGATTTATGTTTTGTGAAACAACCGTTGATGATTTTCCAAAAGATGTCACGAAGATAGTGTTCTAAAATCTCATTTCTGACTCAAAATTACAGCAGTACCACAAAAATTTGAAAAGGACAAGATAATAAAAAAAACCTCCATTGTTGTTGTTTGATTGAAGCTTCAACTCTCAAAAAGAAACCAGAAACGAAAGGTGTAGACTTTGGACCTGAAGAATATAGTATTCATATTGTGAATGACAACTATCAATTAAACTAAGTCACCGGTTTCTAAACTATAATGAACACAAAAGGATGAAATTCAGATGACTAAGAACAAGATTCTAGGGCTAACAACCAATACTTTCTGCATATTCTTGGGTATTTCTAAGAGCTAAATTCATTTTCCTTAACAAGTGTTCAATCAAATCCAACAAGCATATAAAGGTAACAGCCTTTTGAATTTAAGAGTTGTTTGTATAAATTACCTGGCTTTATAACCATCAAGCTTGAATTTCATCAGCTTTCTTATCCTCGGTTTCTTTAGCTGCAGCTACACTTGCTTCTGCTCCCTCTGCGTTTCCCTCAGTTGGCTGAACCTGTTCATCTTCAGGCAACGGTTCCTCAACGTAATCATTCTCAAACGCATCAGGTGGAACCTCATAAATCCTCACTTGAGGCTTCGATGGATCCTTCACAAGAACATATTTCCCTTCGCTAAGTTTCATACACAGATCAACTATGGACTTCACAATCCCCCACATGTTAGAAGTGTTGAGATTAATCTGTCCAGCGAAATCCTTCGGCTTATACCCCAAAACAGATAATATAACATGGTTGAAATGATCACGAGGATGAACCCTAGAGACAAAACCGATCTTCATCATATCAGCATTAGCCAATAGAGCTTGTGCAGTCCATTTAGCCAACTTGTTCCCATTGTTCTTCAATTCGGTAGCTAAAACCGCACCTCTCTGAGTTTCAAGCTTCTGCCTCCAATCAACACCAGAGTACTTAGGATCAAACTCGTTAAGAGCATTCAAAGTAAGGAACGACCTCTGGTTATTGAGTTCAGCAACACTCTGTAACTCACACCTCGCAACCAGATGCATATTCTCATCAAGCTTCCACCTTCTATACCTATAAGCAACAGAAGCAATCTCTTCACCTTCATTAGCAAATGGATTCGCCTCATCAAAAGTCTCCTTCTTTCCATCTCTAACCAAAACCTGCTGCGAAAAGTTCTGATTGATATAAGCAGCTTCGACACCTAGAGAGTACGCAGAATTGATATCATCTTTAGCCTCAGGCAATGGCTCTTGAGAGGTCTCATGCACAGACAACAAATCAAGCTGTGATCCATCTCTCTTGTCAAAGAACAGTTTGTTACCAACACGTTGAATAACAATATCCCAAGAGTAAACAGATCGAGGAGCACACATAAGAGCAGCTAATATAGCATCAGTTGCGAAAACAGTAGCTTTGTCTTCTTTAGCTAAACGCCTAATCACAGGATCATCACTCGTAGTGACTTTGAAGAAGTTCCTGTTCTTGAAACGCTCGAGTCTGCGTTCGTTTTTCGGCGTTGTGCGATCGAAAACGCGGTTGTAGTACTCAAGGCCACCGCAGAGAAGAAGATCTTCTGGTTCTTGAACTGTGAACGAGAGCTTCGAGAATGTTGAGAAAGGGATCTGCTCAAGCATGTTCCACTCCGGCTGAATATCAACGGATGATTTGAAAGCGGCGGCTTCACGGCGCTGGTGATGGATGTTGTTACGGTTGTTATTGTAGAGACGATCACGACGAGCTCGTTCCTTCTCAGCGTCACGCTTCTTAGCTTCGACTTCTTCATCTCGCCGTTGAGGAAGCTGATTCCGATTGTGGTGAGGATTGAAACGCCATTTAGGTCCGAATTTAGGACGCGGCGGAGGTTTACCGTCGACGAGACGGAAAGCTGCGTCCTCATCGGGATTTCCACCGGAGGAAGTGAGACCAAATCCTTCGTCGATAGCGAAAGCGGAGAAATCGAAAACTGCAGACGGATCTGATTTGGATCCGGTGGGAGGACGAGCGGAGGGATTAGAGAGATTGCGAGTCCAATCAGCTACACGGCCGAGCTTATCGGAACGGGAGAAGGAAGCGAAAGGAACGTTTGGGAGAAGATTAGCGGCGGCGACGCTGGTGGAGGAGGCGGAGGAGGAAACGTCGGAAGCGTCTGGAGGACCCCAGCCATCGGAATTGAAAGGAACGGCGACGAATTCGAAAGCTTCGGCTACCATTTTTGAGAAGATAGTGTTGCAGCTCTGTGTGTGTGGGAAAAGCGGAAACCCTAATTCTCTCGATGGAGAGAAAACGTAGAAAAAAAAGTTTTTGTTAATGTTTGGGCTCATGGGCTTTTAAATGAATATTATTTGGACCAAATTTTAACATCAGTTTATTTTCAAAGCCCATATATAAAACTTAAATCATGTTTTTTCTTTTCTAATTATTGATTGATATGACCCAAATGTTCATAGATGAATTCCCATCCTACACGTGGGTTTGTTTTGAAAATTATTAAAATAAATATGTTAATTGTTTTTGTCGCTAATTTATGTTTATTTATTTTTTGTTATTGTATAGTTAATAAAATTAGACTCATCTTATGTACTTACAATTTTTATGGTTAGATTCGTTTTTGACTCTAAATATTAATTTATTTATTTTCCTATATAATTTGATTTTTTTTATATCTAAGATTCTAATATTCATTCACTATCATGAATACACACAACAAGAATATATGATATTTCGATCTCAAGAGTTTTCGTATGAAAGAAGGAAAAAAAAATTTAAATAATTATTTAAATAACACTTTTAGATTTTATGCTATTGCATATAGCCATATAAGAGAAATGGATTTGTTTGATTTATTAAAATAATTTTATAATTTTATTTTTGTTTTGAAAAATCATTTAGAAATAGGATTACTGGAGGATTTAACACAATAGAAGACTTTTGATTTTCCCTCAATTAATTTTTATGATTTTTTAAATTTAAATAATGTTAAATGATATATGTCATATTTTTGTGTGATGATGTGACACTCATATGGAGAGAGTTGACTTTTATATATATGATTCCACAGCTTTAAGTAGATATAAAAGTAAATATTATGCTCACAATGAAACATCACTTTCACACACATGATATAAATCAAGAAAACGAATCTGATACCAAAAATAATTCTAGAAAAGGAACAAGAACATAAACTTTTTTTTAAAAAAAGGAACAAGAAATCAATAATGAACACTGTTCACAAACTTCTCCAGTCTTTCAGGAATTTGACTCCTAGCTCCATAATCACATTCTTCCACCTATATATTTTAAAATATAAATTAAATTTAGTTCACAATAACATGGATATTAATACTAGGAATCAAACTAGTAGAAAGTAGAAACTTATTACAATCCGATGGGACCAATGTATCTTCTTAGCATTTTTGAGTGCCGTTTTTTATATAATATAAACTAGTATAAATATATATATATACCCAACTAGTTTGATCCCATTCCCACTGTGTATACACACTGGATTAGACCTAGTTTTAACTTTTAACATAGTAGTAGTAGCAAAATTTGATTCCTAAATTAAATTCCATATCAAAAAATGTTTATTTTTCAATTGATACCTTGCAGTGAAGGGTGTGGAAGACAGCATCATTAACAATGGAGTATCCAGCATGAGTGATCTCAGCTCCTAATTCTTCAGTGAGAAGACGAACGATCTCACAGAACATAAACTTGTGTTCCAAGCTTGTCACAAGAAAGATGTGAAAAATGGAACCAGTCTCTTGAATCTCAATTTTTGGGAGCCTTCTAGGCACGGAGACATCGACACTCGAAGAAACCGATGAAGATCCGACGGAATTCAATTTCTCAAAAGTTGTAGTCGCAACAAGTTTCCTCTTCCTTTCTCTCTTTTTCTCCACGTTCACTTGTAGCTTCTTGATGTAGTTTGCAGCTTCATCTAGCTCATCAGGTAGTGTTAAAGGCTCCTATAACATCAAACAAGAAAAAGGTTTATATATTAAGATATCACACATGGAATAAAAGATTATATATGCATATATATAAGAGGACGAAGAAGAGAAGAAGAAACCCTAGAAGACTGATGAGGAAGAAGAGAGATGAGTTCTGAGTAGAGAGATTTCATTTGCATCCTTCTATTTTTCTCAATCGTTTTGCGATCTACAGATCTTGATTGACCAGTGTTTGAATGGCTCGGCTCCATTGTTTTTTTCTTCTTGAATTGTTTCACATAGACCATGATGATAAACTCGATGTTAGCCACGCTTATATAAAGGAGGAGGTTGGTTTAAGTACTGACATCTGATAATTAGTTTGTGCTATTAACAATTTACTGGAAAGGGGTTTGTTAAGGGAGAAAGTTATCTGTTACCAAAGATTAAAAAGAAACAAAAAACAAAAGCAAGACTAAGTGGAAAAAAGTAAGTTCTTTAAATATATATATTTCTTGACTCGTTATGGTCAATTATATATTTTTATGTGTTCACATATTTTTAAATGGGTCTGTTAATACTGTCAAACTGGAGTGAGAATCAACACTAGTTTATAAGAGGCATATGTTAAGCTATTTATCTACAATTGACTCAAACTAGAACATGATATAAATAAAAGTGAAAAATGACCAACAATACTACAACAGACAAGAATCATCCACACATCGGTCGTTAATTTTGCATAGAAAACTCATTAACTCGATCACATGGTTTTTGGTCAATACATATTCAAATCAAAAATTTGCTAGAACTATTTTGAGCAAATAGTCCAATGTAAAATCTTTAATAAATTAATATTCGATAAATTAATATATTTCTCACGTTTTAAATTATTTAGTTTTTATCATTGAATTTATTTTAAGATAAATTATCATAATTCCAACATTAATTTTAGAAGTTTTTTATATTTGAGTTTTGGACCATTGCATTGCATGTTTTTGATCAATAATTTTCACTCTCATATATAGCGTTTGTTCTAACTTGGGGTTCGATATAAGTTATATTCAATTCTCCAATCGGTTGAGTTGATCGTAGTTACATTTACGTTTTTTTTTTTTTATATATATGTATGACATTTACTTTAACAATTATTTTTTTCTAAATTCCATCACTGGAAAATACTTAAAATGTTTTCTATAAATGCAAAAGAAGAAGGAAAATAGAAAAAGGTTTTGAAATGGAGAGTGGTGGGGTGAGTATGGTCAACTTTTTCGCTGAGGCAATTGCGTGGATTTTGTTGAACCACTCGAACTTAGTCGACATGAAGAAGACATGCTCATAATCTTTTGTTCTCATCACCAATTTGTAGATAAAATCTTTATCATATACAACTCTTCTCTATTACTATGTACATGCTAGATTAGATGTTTTATGTAGGACACCAACTATAACTTACGTATTGAAACAATGTAAAGAGAGATGATATAATTGTAGAGTAACTTTTTTCACTAATGCTATGAAAAACAAGAAAGACTCAAAATTTTTGCTATGATAAATCTTAAATTTGAGGTTAGGATTTTTTAAATCCTAGAGTAATTTAAATTTGATTGTTGGTTTAGTTTATTTTTTTTTGTCTTTCTTTCTTTCGAGCATCTCTAGATATATCGGTTTTTACTTTTCTCGACAAAAAAAAAATATCCAATATGCTTTGATTAAATGTTTGTTTGTCTGTTAGTTCACATTTCCACCAAAATCCAAAAAACTAGTCAAATTCGTAACGCAATCGACATCAACAATCGGTTTTCATTGAATGTACTTCACATTCTATTACATATCCTTAAAATTTGTATGGATTTTTATTTATGAGATCCAATTAACAAAATCACCTCATCTTAGGATACTCATCATGTGTAGGCCATAGAAGGTAGTGTAGGCCATAGAAGGTCGAATCACATTCTCAAATTTCAACAAAAATCTTTTATTAATCCATAAAAAAATCTGTAAAACCTTAATAATACAATGCTTTAAGAAAGTGAATATGACTTACATTCATACATCAAAACATCAAAGATAGCCCTCTAGCAAAACGTTTCCACCTAATTGCTTAGACTGCAAATCTTTCACCTGTTTTGATTCTAACCACTTCATCGATGCAATCTGTCTCTCATCTTTTGTGCTCCATTCCGGCAAAACCTCAATAATTACTTTCTGCAATAGTTTCTGTTCAAATCCATCTCTCAGAAGCACTTCAAGGTCTTTGACGTTCCCCCTCAAATCTAACAAGACACTGCATAGTCCACGGTTGTAACAGTAATCCAGAATGGAATCCAAATTTATCTTTTCCAGTACTACAGTTTCAACCCCGCTACTACTGATTCCGGATTCTGCAAGCAATTCCTTTGCGGTGAACAGTACAACTTTTGGACCCGATTCTTCCACAGTGTTGGAAGAAGCAAGGATAGGAGACTGTTGTGCATTTCTAGCTACTATGATTTGAATAGGTTGAATTGAAACGTTAGTAGCTTCTTGTGAGGAAATGCTCGAGAGTTCATCCGATAACGAGGATGAAAGTATTATCGCATCATATTCCTGTAATAGCTTCGAGTAGTATCCACCACTATCCGAAGCCCCTTCCCCAATCTTGTCCAGAAAACAACCGTTGACAGACATAGAATACCTGCAAAGATTTTCAAGACTTAAAAACAATCTACGACTCGATTTTGTCTCCACTCAAGAGAAGCAATGAACTTTACCTGAGGGCAAGGAAAGGCTTCTCTGTTAACATCCGATGGATGAATCCCTCATTCATCTTCTTGCATAACTCTTCTTCAACACCCACAGTGACATCAATTCCAGCATCTTTCAACCGACTAATACCTGAAGAAGAAACGATTGGATTCGGATCAACCATCCCAACTACAACTCTCTTCACCTTAGCCTTAATCAACGCCTCTGTACACGGCGGCGTTCTCCCGTAATGATTACATGGTTCCAAGCTAACATAAGCAGTTGCATTCTCCGCTAACTCTCCAGCATCTCGAAGAGCAAACACCTACCAATACCAATAAACAACTCTCACCATAAATCAAACTCATTAACACCTACTCAACCTCCAATTCCACAATCAAGAATCAAAGTTTGCTCATTTTTGGTAACCCAACAAAGAAAAGTTGAACTTTTGTTACCTCAGCATGAGGTTGACCAGCCTTGGGATGAAACCCTTGGCCAACGATGTCGCCGTCTTTAACAATGACACAACCTACCATAGGATTAGGACTTGTACACCCAATTGCTCTCTTTGCTAGTTCAACGCATTTCCTCATATAAAACGAATCATCGACTTCAACACCTTCTTCTCTTCTCATGGAAGCCAAAACTGTATTGCTGAAACCAGTCTGAGATTTATGTAATGTTTTGAAGAAACTGTGATTTGGGTTCTGAAGTGAAGTGAGGTTGAAAATGCGGCTAGGATTTGAGGAGAGTGATGATAAAAGTGGAATTGAGGTTCGAGGAGTGATCGAAGGAATCGAAATTGGGAGACATGTGATCTGCATATCACTATTGAATCTTGTTCTTGACTAAAATCGAAAATCGACGATTAAATTGCGGATTCAGGCCGTCTCCAGCTAGAAATGTACGGCAGCTGCGGGAATACAGCCGAAACCCTAACATCAACGGTGTAGAGAAATGGAGACGACGACGACGACGAGAAGATTGGATTCGTAATTGAAAGAGCCGGTTAAGACTAACCGGAAACCGTAACAGTCATAACCATCGGTGTACTATGCTATTTTTAATTTTGTTTTAGACAGTAATATAATCCGGTTGAAGAAACACCATTGGTCGAATTGGGCTCTCAGGCCAACACACTTACCTGCGATTATGCCTCCTCTTCCGTGTTAAAGAAACCGTTATCAAAAACTTTCCACAAAAGTTGCCAAGAGTCATCGTTGTTCAACCTCCAAACCTTTATAACGGTTTCTTCCTTTTGAGCTAATGTTCTCATACACATCATAAATCCTTCGGATGTAGTCAAGGCTCTTCTTTTTAAGTCTCCATCGTCGCTGTGATTCGGATGATCGGGGAGAGGTATAACCCGAAATTGATCGGATTCAGAATAGAAATCATGAGCTACAAGTACTCCAGGTTGACTAAGATTGGAATAGTAATTTGTACCATTCACAGTCACATAATCAGTAAGGCTGGTGATTTGGTGAGGACAGTGAATTATCTTGGAAGTCCAAAGACCTGTCTCAGAGGAATACAGAAGCACACTCAAAGTGCACGAGAGATTATTATTTGTCGTTAGTAGTGAAGCATACCAAACAACTTTGAAGCTCAAAACGTCGCCATCATCGTCCACGCGAGTCACCAGACAATAAACACGAGAAGAATCGTTTGGAGATGGAGGGATTTTGACCCACTGTTGTAATACTGGATTGCCCACAAAGCAATGACGATGATATCCTCTAATCAAAACCAATCCATTGGAGTAAAATAAACGAACCTGTGGGATTATAGAACCTATAGACTCTGGAAGATCCCATGTCTCGCATCCATAGAACCTTATGAGTTCTTCTTTTCTTCTGCAGCACCATAGCAACCACGAGGTAGAGTTTTGGTGCAGAGACAGAAAGAGACGGCGGATTCGGTTGCTAATTTCCATGTTTTGCTAACCGATTTGAATCTATAGATGCTTTTCAAAGACAACCTCGCCAGAATCTCCGTCAATATCGCCTCCGGGAGGAGATGTATTGGTGTTTCCATCCAGACTTTTGGATTAGGGTTTCTAGGATTAGGTTTTGGAAAAAGATCATATAATACAAACCTAACGTATAAGTTAAGATTCCTAATTCAAAGAGTCGGTTAAGTGTAACCGGAACATAAAACACGATTTAGCAACTTCCATGAACAGAGAAAATAACTGGGAAAAAAAATGAAATTTCATTCACTCATGAGACATGAGCAGTTTTCGTTTTTTTTTACAGAGAAAATGTTAAATAAACTAACACAAGACACACAACACACTACCTTGACAAAGGAGAACACATTCAGAGGAACCAAACTCCATCGGAACCTACAAAACAAACACATTGTTCCTAAATTGAAGAAAGATCTTCATAAATAGTCTTAATACCAGGTCTCTCAGAAACCGATCTTATACACCTCAAAGCAATCCCCAGAACTTCTTTCATGCCTTTCTCTGTAACCGGATCACTTCCCATCTCCTGAGACAATACCGAATCAAAGCATTCTGCACCGCGCCCTTCTGCAACACGTAACCTAACCCAGTCGGTTAGATCAACACCTTCTTGTTCACCTGTGATCACATCTCCTGCACATCTTCCCGTTAGGATCTCAAGAAGTATCACACCGAATGCATAGACATCTGATTTGAAAGAAGGTAACGGTTTTCTTGAAGCTGCTAGCTCGGGAGCTCGGTAACCGAGGATTCCTGCGTCTAGAATCTGTTCGACTGTGCCTGCTTGTGTCATGAGACGGTGGAGGCAGTAATCTGCTACACGTGCGTTTAGCTCTGCTCCATCTAAGAGAATGTTTGTTGCCTTGAGGTTACCGTGTGGAACAGCTCTGTCAAAATGGAGGTAGTTGAGACCACGTGCCACATCAACTGCGATTTTCAACCGTTGGATCCAGGCTAGGGGAGGGCCTTTCCTGCCTGGTCGATCTGAGATCAAACAAGAACCGTAAGCTTGACGAAAAATACTGCAGGTACATAAATATAATACTTAGATAAGTTTATAGAAAGGAGTATTACCATAAAGGAAGCTGGCAAGCCTTCCAGGCGATATATAGTCTGAAAGAATAAGTTTTTCGTGTTGAGTGGGACCCCAATAGTACCCTCGGAGAGTCACAACATTAGGATGTCTAATGTTAGAAAATTTCTTCACCTCTTTAGCAAAATCCTTTCTCTGCTTTGCCACGCCTTCTCTTAGCCATTTTACGGTTAAAAACACTCCGTTATCCAGTGTTGCCCTATAAGAAGTCCCATGGCTACTTCTTCCCAGAACTTCAGCTGGTGCCCTTGATAATTCTTCTGGAGTCAACTTGATTGAATCATCCAGAAAATGCAGCTCTCCCACAAGTCTATCTGGTGACCTAACATCAAGCCGTGCTAGTTGCTGATCAGCTGGGAATGAATCTCCTGATCCAGGTGACCAAGATAAATTGCTCGTCTTAGAAGGAGAAAAGCCGGTTGCAACAGCTAGTTTTTCATCTGGACTGAGGATTTCGGATGATGAGCCTTTTCTTGAAGCAACAAGATCCTCAGCAGAGACAACCATACCACCTCCACTGCCTGAGGGGATTGTTTGAGCCCGCCTATTAATTTCTTTACCTGTTATACTACGCTCTTCGCGTCTTCTTGATTTGCAGATGCAGAAAAGGAGGATAGCCACAAGGATGAGAATAATTAGAGCAACGACGCACGAAACTATTATGACAACCTTAACAAGTTTGTTCGTGGATTTATTCTTGGAAGCTTCTGATGCACTTGAACCAGGGGATCCAGCAGGCAAGAAGAGCTTGCTGTTTCCAGGATAAAAGGAAGGCGGAGGGAAGTTCTTCAGATTCTCTGGCACAGTCCCTGATAGATCATTGTATGACACGTTAAAGGCCATAAGGCTGCTAGATAAGTTGCTTGGGAGTGGTCCAGTGAAATGATTCTGGGATACGTCTAATGAGCTTAGAGAGACCATGTCATTCATGGAGCTTGGCAAAGAGCCAGACAAATTATTTGCTGTGAGATTCAGCACTTGAAGATTGGTTAAAGATCCGAATACACCAGGAAGATCGCCGTCAAACCGGTTGTGAGAAAGATCAAGAAGACGGATTCTGGAACCAGAAGAAGGCAGGGGTCCGATGTTACCTGTCATGCCATTGTTTTGAAGGTGGATCTCCTCCAAAGTGGGCATGGATAGTAATGCACCTGGGATTGGCCCTTCTAAGCTGTTAGTACTTATATCAAGTACCCGAAGTTTCGGATAATGAGTTGGAATCCGTTCTGGAAGTGAGCCTGTGAGCTTATTGTAGGAAAGATTAAGATGATTTGCTCGCAGAAGCTGGGGAGTTACGTCTGGGAACGAGCCAGTGAAATGGTTCTGGCTGAGATCAAGGTACTCGATATTCTCCCATTTTGACCATCTTGTCAGATTTCCTTCAAACTGGTTGTTTGAGAGATCAAGTAAAACACAGCCCCCGGTCAAGAGAGGAAGCTCCCCGGTCAATGAATTTGAAGAAAGATCAAGGGTGTGAAGAGTTGTTGACATGATAGAACTTACTGGCCCTGGAACACAAAAGGAAAACCAAAAAAGAAAAATATTAGGTTTCTAGTTTTCTTGGTGCCACCACTAACATATAACAATTCCCACTCTGTAGAGGATAAAGCCAAGAGCATACCTGAGAGATTGTTGCCACTTAAATCCAGCGTTTTTAAAAGCAAGGAGTCACCTTTTAACAAATTATTGGGAAGGGAACCTGAGAATCTGTTGTTGCTAAGCTTGAGAACTTCAAGATCATAGACATAATTGAAACCTGGTAATTCTCCAGATAACTGGTTGTAGCTAAGATCCAAGACTTTTAAGTTCTGAAACAACTGAAGCCCACTAGTCAATGAACCTTCAAGCTGATTATGGCTGAGATTTAAGTGCTTGATGCTCTCAGAAACACCAGGTAAAAGTTTCCCAGACGTTGTCACCAATCTGTTTCCACTGAAATCGACATAGCTCGCATTCGTTAAAAGGAAAAACTCCCCATCAAGAGTACCATCAATTGAATTACCATGCAAATCAAGCACTTCAAGACTTGAAATCAACTCGAAGCCCCTCGGGATTTTCCCCAAGAATCCATTAGAAGACAGATTCAAGTACAGCAGATCGTTCAGCGTTGTCAAGGACTTTGGCAAAGGTCCAGATAAGGAGTTGCGACTCATATCCAACGACTGAAGCGAAATCAACCCACCCATAGACTCCGGAATCTCACCAGAAAAGTTGTTACCAGCTAAAGAAAGATTCCTCAAGCTTACTGATCTACCAATCTCTTTAGGCAATGAAGAAGAGAACAGATTATCAGATAAATCCAGGAACTGGAGGCTTTTGAAACTGCCTAAATTATTTGGCAACACACCAGAAATGGAATTGTTGGCCATAGATAGTTTGACAAGCTTAGTCAAGTTGGAAAACAGACTGAAATCAGCATCAGCAGTCAAGCCCAAATTATCCAAAACAACACCAGCCACATTACCACCATTGCAGACAATACCATTCCAAGAAGAAGGACAACCATTGAAGTCAATAGACTCATCGTTCCATGAATTAAGAACAAACCCTGTAGGGTCATGTTTGATCCCTTTCTTGAATTCAAGCAATGCCATGATGTCCTGTGATGGAAGTTGCCCCATTGCAGACAGGAAAAACATGGAGAGTAACAAAATCCTAGAAAGATTCATCCTTTACTTCAAAATCTTTCACCCAAAAGCTACAGTTTTTGCAGAAACCCAACAACTTTTCCAGCTCACCAACGCAGAAAATTCATGGAACCCCAAGTAAATCTGACATAAAAGATAATGAAATAAGACGAAACCCATCAATGTTACCAAAAAAAAGTTTCAATCTTTCTGCAAAAAATCAACAATACCAAAACTTTCACTGAGAAAAAAAAATAAAGGAGCTAAAGAAACTTTACCTTAGATGAACAAATGTTCTGAGAAACCTCAATCAAACAAAATGCAGGATGCTATTGAGTGAGAAGAGACAATCTTGAATCAAATGGAATCAGCTGAAAAAACATTAAATGAACAATGGGGGCTATTCAATATTTGGGTCCCATTCCGAGATCTAACCTAACTCCAAAGCAAAGAGATAAAATGGAAAGTAAGGATTTTTAAACTTACGGGGATGAAAAAAGCTTCACTGCAAGAACAATGTCGACAGAGTTGAAGAAGAAGGAAGACAAAAACTTTAAAGCAGAATCATTTTGTTCATTAGCTCATGAACTGCACGGGGTTTTGGATTTGGCTCTTAACACTGTAGACTGAGCTAACTGAGGGAAATCTTTGTGGGTCACTTTTTAAAATTAAAAAGCCTCAAAGATTGTCACTGTTTAAGAACAAAAGAAAGAAGCCAAAACAAAATTAAAGATAGAGAAATTTTTTGCTAGCTTTCACGTTCGACAGTGACGAACGACAAGGACCTTGTAAAGGGGTAAGTCTTGAAGCGTGTGAACAGCCAAAAAAAACACCAAATCTTAAATAAAAATAAAAATAAAAAAGGAAAATAGCAAGAAAATATTATTAATTTTTTTTTTCATGGGTTCAAGAGAAATTATATATTAATTTTACTTTTTCATAGTCTTTTCAGTGAGGAAAAATTAATAAAATTGTATAATTACCCGCCAGGAATGGCCCGGGAAAGGAATCCAAAAAACTGAAATAAAGTTACTTACACTAATGTTTTTATTTTAGTGAGAGTGACCATGGTGGACGTGAAAGAGTTTATCCAATATGGTTATGAGTCTTTGTCCTTGCCTTTAGTGAGGGTAAAACTGTCATTGTATCTACAAAGAGCGACATTGGGAAAATAAGCGAAAATTGCGCAGTGTTCTAATAAATCTTGGTAGAAAATTGCAATAAATGAATTACGTCAAGAGTAAATAATAGGGAAAATAAAAACGAGAAAAAACCCGAAAAAATCACCAACTATTTTTTTTACCGTTTAATACCTGTGTTTTTAAATTTGGAATAAAAATACCTCATTTAAAAACACAGGTATTAAACGCCCAAAAAAAATAGATAGCGGTTTTTTCGGATTTTTTGCCGGTTAAAATTTAACGCTGTTAAATAATTCTGTTACGCCCAGTAACGACTGTTAAGAATCGGGTTGGAAATTACTAAGTTTTAAAAAACGATAGTTTTAAAAGGCAATCGAAATTAAATGAGGTATTTTTATTCCAAATTTAAAAACACAGGTATTAAACGGCAAAAAAAAAAAAAATAGATGGCGGTTTTTCCGGATTTTTCGAGTGAATATTATTACAAATAATGATAGTTTCGAGTGAATATTATTACAAGAAAATACAGAAGAAAATACAAGAAAATAAGGAAAATGTGTAGTAAATGAAACATGAATTTTTGAACAATCCAGAGAAAAAGGTACTAAATATTCGGAGATATAAACATTTTTGAAGTTTTAAACAAAAAGAAATAAATATGTAGAAGAGATATGAATACCACGTAAGATGATGGGACCCATATGCTGACTTCGTTGACTAGGGAAGAAGACCGGAAGAGACAACGGGCATCAGGCCAAATTATTTGGGTTTTACTGATAATTTGAAAGTAACAGTCCAATTTCAGAAGAAACTGATAATTAAGGGGTCATAATTCAAAAAGCAAAATCTGAGTGTTTTGATGAGGTTTTACACACACTTTACGTCTAAACCTCACTCTCATTTGCTAATTGTTAACTCGCTCTGAGTTTGAAGAAATTCATCAATGGCGATTCGCAGAGCGCAAACTCTACTTTGTCTTTCCAAATTCAAAACCAATTTCGTGTTTGGGTCGCTCCACCGATTATTCTCTTCGTCGTCTCAAAATTCAAATCAATTCCAGGTTCTGCTTTTTAATTTCCTTCATGATCAGAAAAAAACAATCTCTTTACCTCATAAGTCATAAGTACCTAGAATTTTCTTAAAACGTTCCAAAAACATGATCTTTAAGGTAGTTGGAAGAAAAGATCTTAACTTTTATAATCTCGATCATAGTTTACAAGAATTTTTTGGGGCCAAATTGCTTATTGATCTTGATCACTTATCCAAAATTCATCAATTCAAGTTGTCTGGATAAGATTTGTTAACTGCAAAATTTGTCTGAACATTGTTCTGTGATTCTATTCAAAATTGATGCAAATGAAATCTCATTTTTGCTGTTTTATCAGAATGTTGGTTTTATAGGACTTGGAAATATGGGATCTAGAATGGTGAATAATCTAGTTAAAGCTGGATATAAAGTTACCGTCCATGACATGTAATGTCCTTTAGTGCGTTTTGCTGCCTATCAATTGCTTAATGTTGATTCATTTGATTCACTTTTTTTGGGCATATACTTGTGTGTTGATTCACAGAAACCGTGATGTTATGAAGATGTTCACCGAAATGGGAGTCTCTGCTAGAGAAACTCCTTATCAAGTTGCACAAGATAGCGAAGTTGTGATTACCATGTTGCCTTCATCATCTCATGTAAGTTATTTACCTTTAGCAAGATTTTTATAAGAGAACAATTTGAAAGATCATCCTGTGTACGAGATAGTATTGTTGTTTACCTTCTGATACTGAAAGAATGTTAATCTTTAATTGATTGGATGTTTTTTATGAAGAAAAAAATTGTGATTGATGTAGGTGATGGATGTGTACACAGGAACAAATGGGTTGCTTCTTGGAGAAAATGCTATAAGACCTGCTTTGTTAATAGATTCTTCCACTATTGATCCACAAACAACTCGAAAAATCTCGCTTGCTGTTTCTAATTGTAATTTGAAAGAAAAGAGAGGTAAAGCATAGATAGGATTTGGAAGGAAGTTTGTTTCTTCTTATTAGTAAACAACAGCTTCATTTTGTTCTTCTTGTCAACAAGTCGAGATTATTCAATTTTCAATAGTTTCAAGCATCATTGATGCAGGAAATTGGGAAAAGCCGGTCATGTTGGATGCTCCTGTCTCTGGAGGTGTTCTTGCTGCAGAAGCTGGTACACTTACTTTCATGGTATCTTGTCGACTCTCTTATCTTCTACATTATTTGAGTCACATCCTTCATAGATGCTCATGAATCATGATTATATATAACATCAACTTTGCTGATTATATGTGCCTTTATACCTATAAGAGTACAATGGCATTGACACAATTGCACGTTTTGTAGGTTGGAGGTCCCAAAGATGCTTACGTAGCTGCTAGACCAATACTTCAGTCAATGGGTAGAACCTCCATCTACTGTGGTGGTTCAGGAAATGGCTCTGTAAGTTCACTGCTATACCATGTTTTTCTGTTACATTATCTAATCTTTGGTATACTTGTCTCTGCAATTCTTAAACAGAATTTTTTCGATGTAGACTGAGAAACGACATGTTGTTTTTCAAACCTAGGCTGCAAAGATTTGTAACAATTTGGCAATGGCTGTGAGTATGCTCGGCACTTCAGAAGCCTTAGCTCTTGGTCAGTCACTTGGAATATCTGCCAGTACCTTAACAGAAGTGTTAAACACATCTAGTGGCCGATGTTGGAGTAGGTATGTAAATGAAATGACCTCTTCAAATTTATAATTGTCGTCTAGTTAAGTCCAAACCCCCAAATTCTTAACTTTATTATATTCTTATAACCTCAGTGACGCATACAATCCAGTTCCAGGAGTGATGAAAGGTGTGCCATCTTCAAGGGATTACAATGGCGGTTTCGCCTCCAAACTTATGGTCAGTTTCTTAACAAATCTCTATATCTTTTTCTTTGATCCTATAAAATGTCTCTAAAGCAATCATTTGTTACACAAGTCTTTCATGTATATAGTGTATTCAAAATGCAGGCTAAAGACCTAAACCTCGCAGCAGCCTCAGCTGAAGAAGTTGGACACAAAAGCCCATTGATATCCAAAGCACAAGAAATGTGAGTACTTGAGTAGTCTTTTCTCCTAGAAGCTATATTCCTTTGCTGTGAACAAAAAGAAGGCTTGTGAATGACAGTTTATGGAAACAACTTAGAAAACTCTGTTTAAATCTCGCTTATGAAGCAAAGCACACACATCAAGCTGAGGATTTTGACTTTTTTTTTTTTTTGCAGTTACAAGAAGATGTGCGAGGAAGGGCATGAAACGAAGGACTTCTCTTGTGTTTTCAGACACTTTTACAATGGCAAAGATGAGGTCTGAGGCAATCTTAACAATGACCCTGCAAAATAACCGTTTACTTTGTGCATTTTAGCATTTAGATTGTTGATTTTCATTGCTAAGAATAATAAAAGTCTTGGAAGGGCTGTGATATTTATAATATGCCATGTGAATTGTAATTAGTTTGAGAGCATCTCTTGCTTTGAATATAACTCTTGGATTCAACTAGCAAGTAGTTAGAGGTCAGCGAAGAATAAATCATGCAGTCAAAGTTATTGAGCTCAAAGTCAAAGTCACCATTAATAGCTTTATTTAATCCGGATTAGCGAAAAGAATACAAACAATTAGGAGGGGGTATTGAAGCAAAGAATGTCATAGAATTTAATAGAATTGAATTAAAGACATAAATACAGATTTACAAGTACTTGTAAAGATTTTTTAAAATCTTTCTTTCAAATTCTACGAATATTCTACAACAATTTAATAGAATAGAAAAGAAATTTCAATAGAATTGAAAAGAAATTTCAATAGAATTGAAAAGATATATTTACAAAATTCTTCTACCTCTTGTTATCCCTCCGGAGAGCTTCCACGAAATTACCCCGGTGGCAGAAGTGACGGTGGCAACAGATGTGGAAGCCACCGCTGGTCACCGTAGCGGTGGTGACGGTGGCGATGGAAAGAAGAAGTGTGTGTGTTCACCGTCGAAGCATCCAAGATTTTATAATAAACAATAATTAATTTAATAAATTTCAAAAGTATCGAAAATCTAGCAACAACATTCTTATCTAATAAAATTGGAGCATATCCATAACGAATAAAATAACAAACATGCTTCAGCACTGATGAGTATCAAATAATTTTTTTGTTTTGTTGTTCTCACGTTAACAAAAACAGAGCATCACGATTCACGACTCACGAGCACACCCGAAACCTTGCAGATGTCGCAGCTACCAAAGCAAGCGTGTCATTGTCATCCTAGCTTGTGCTCACGATGATAAGGAGATCAATCCGAAGTTGTTGTGTCGTTGCCGTCGTTTGGCGTTGTTTCATTTTGACTCACCGTGGTTGATTCTCGATCAACTCCGTCAAATGGAAAGAGAGACACGGCTAAGACATGGTCACATGGCATCTCTGGAGGATACGAGAAAACATGAGAAGTGAGGTCTCATGTGGAGATGTGATGAAAGAGACAGTAATCTCGTTAACACAAAAAAGAGAGAAAGGGAGAAGAGGAGAGAGAGAGAGAGAGCCATGAAGAAAAGGAGAGAGTTGGAGAAGTCGCATAGGTGGTGGAAACCACTGGTGGCTCTATTAGCACATGTCATGGTTGTGGAAACTCTCGATGGTGGTGAAGGATCAAGCTTGGAGCAGATCAGAGGTGGAAAAGAAGATATGTTGCACATGAGTTCATAGCTAATGGTTCGCACATGAGGCTCTTGGTTGCTCCAGAAGAGATGTCAATGTTAAGACGAATCATTTGAGGGAAATTTTGTTGAGGTCTTGGCTCCAGAAGAGATGACAATGAGAAGAAGAACCATTTGAAGTCCGTACGTCTTTTTTTTTCCACCGAAATCACAACATAAAGGCTCAGAATTTGTTCAATACATTTTACACTAATTTTTCTATTAAATTCTTGTCAAATAATGGTGTCATAGAATTTTACATAACACTGAATAACACTTGAATTTAATAGAACTAAGAATTCAACAAATTGAATAACACTAGAATTAAAAATATTTTAAAAGAATGGTTACAAATAGTTATTTCAATAACACAAGAATTTAATAGAATCTACAAAAAGTCAAAATGAATAACACTAGAATTCAAATTCTGTTTAATTCTATCAATTTCCTTCGTCCAATACCCCCCTTAGTCACCGTTGGTAATTACATTTTTTTAACAGTGTTGTTACTCACTAACCAAATCAGTAAATATACCATTTTCCTTATCTGTAATTCGTAATCAATTTGATATATAATCATTCTTGGCTATTTTCCCTAAAACCTCAAGATCTGCAATTGGTCCACCAAAGAGAACCAAACCATTTTTGCAGATTCTCCGGTACAAATTACGGAAACAGTGTTTGTGTTAATATCTACAATGTTAAATGACCAAAACACCCTCGCTTTCTTCATCCCACACCTCTACTACATTTGAAATCCCCCCAACATTCTTCCTCTGTTGCTCAAACTAGTTTCCCTCGACACTCAAAGGTACGTCTTTGAATCTTCCTCTTGTGTTTCGTCTCTATGTTTCGCTTGCTTACTTAAGGCTTATTTCTGAAATTCGATTTCATCGACTCATCATTACTGTTTATGACAATTCGTTCCTCGTAACGTTACTTCAACCCTTTTTTTTTTCTGCTTCCTTCGCGCGAAAAATCGTTGCTTTGACTCATATTCCTCTGTTTCATCATACTGTTGTCTGTCATAAAACCTTAAGTCCCCGAATTTAGGTCATCTTCTTGTTTCTCTTTTACAAAACCCTAGTTTTTTTGGGGTTCTGTGCAGTGTGCAGTCGTACAGTTTGCACTAAAGTTACCATCTTTCGTGGTCTTTGACTATCTACATGAGTCATATATAGTTCTTATGTTTTGTCTCAGTGTATAAAGAAGCTACAGTGAGTTTTGTGATGGCGGGTGAGGAGAAGCAGACTCTTACTCCAAAAGAGATTATACATCAGAAGTTTGGTGATAAAGCAATTTATAGAATTGAGGAAGTTCATGTTTCTTCGAATGAATGCCTCTATCGTTGCCACTTGCAGCTACCAGAATTTTCTGTTGTATCAAATGTCTTCAAGAGAAAAAAGGATTCCGAACAATCCGCTGCAGAATTGGCTCTCGAGAAGGTATGATTTTGGCACATCTCTCTGCTCTTATTGTTTCGTAGATTTGTTAACACTCTTTAATTATGTTAAAAAATACAATTATTATTCATGTTGCAGTTAGGAATTCAGTCTCAGGATGATGATGATGATGATATAACTGTGGATGAAGCTTGGAATGATATCGTTGAACGCATTAAGTATATATTTTCTGATGAGGTTAGTAGGTCATAAGCAATTTCGGATTTTTATATGTTTTTAATTATGAGTTCATCACTACAAAAGGTCTAAAAGTTAATTTGTGGTTTGTCTTTATTGGCTATAACGTTTCAGTTGTTACCATTGTAGTTTCTTTCAGCTGATCATCCTCTGGGAGGTCACCTTAGGGCGGCATTGCAAAGGGATGGTGAACGTTGTGGATCACTTCCTGTTTCTGTTATTGCGACATTTGATGCAAAGATTAACAGTCGCTGTAAAGTGATTGATCCTTCTGTGGACTCAGATCCTATCTTGCTCATGTCCTATGTCATGAAGGCTGCAGCAAAGTTGCCAGACTACATTGTCGTGTCTCCGCATGTAGATTCTCTACGAAGGAAAAAGCCATACTCTCCAGCAATTATAAAAGCTCTGGCTACTCATGTGAAAAGCATAAAAGTTGAGGCTGTGCATATACAATGTACTGTTGGCGGTGAAGAAGTTGTTAAGCCAGTCACTCTTGATATTTCATCAGGTCGGTATTACTTGGATATTATTGCTGAAAAGCTTGGGTTGAAGGATGGCAGCCAAGTGATGATATCAAGGTGATTACATTATCTTTTCTGTCAATAAAATGGAGCTTTCTCATTTTTAATCTGATTAAAACTATTTTTGGATTTTTCAACAGGACTATTGGCAAAACTTCCTCTGGCTATGAGTGTAGAGTATACGCTGCCATGCCTAAGTTGAAGTCTTTCGATAATTCATGGAAAGCCCGTGAAAAACGTCCAATTAATGAATCATTACATCTTGAAAAGTCTCGGAATGCAAAAGCAAGTTTTGTTTGTGGTCTTGATGTTCACGGTGATGCGATTGTGGCATCTGTTGGTTACCCATGGAGGTCCCATGATCTTGAACATGATGGTGTAACCTTAAAGTCGTTTTACAGGTCTCTTACTCCTACCAACTTTTGCTCCGTTTTATGTTTTGTTTTTCCTTCGTATAGCTTTTGGTCTTCTGCTGAAGCACTGCGTATCTTACCATGTTTTTGGCTTCTGTAGGATATGTTGCGGTATGTCTCCTATTGGAATCTATAAACTATCCCGAGAAGCAATAATTGCTGCGCAGTTGCCTTTTTCATTCACTACAAAGTCTACTTGGAGAGGTCCATTCCCCAGGGAGATTCTCTGCATGTTCTGCCGTCAGCAACAACTAGCAGAACCCATTTTTACTTTATCTACTGCTCCTGTGAAACCAATGTCTTGCATATTAAGATCCTACCAGAAGTTGAAAGACTCTGAATCTGATGATAGCGAATATCAATATGTGAGCAAGGGAAAAGAGGAGATACCAGAATCAGGGACTGGATATAGATGTGAAGTGAAAATTCTCTCAAAGTCCCAGGATTTGGTTTTAGATTGCACGTCGAAAAAGTTCTATGAGAAGGAAAACCATGCTATTCAAAATGCTTCATTGGATGCCCTCTCATGGTTAAGTAGGCTTTTCGACGAGGGGGATGTGGACCCACTGCAAACATGTTATACAAGTGAACACCTGGATATGGTATTTCAACAGAGGATCTTGATGAAAGAGGCTGTTCCAAGGGGACATTTCCGAAATATAGACGAAAGGAATGAATACGAGGACCAAATTCGTATTCAATCCATAACAAAGGGTTCCTTGGTTAGCATATGCTATTCTGTGTATTTGGATGTAGATGCTGATTTTTCGAGTGATGGTAAATCTAGAAAAGAACTCATCGAAAGCAATGAAGAGATAGAGTTCGAGGTGGGGAATGGTTCTATGAATCCACATCTTGAATCAGTTGTTACTCAGCTGGCTGTGGGCCAATATGCTCGTTTTTTAACTGATGCGCCTGCTGAAGACTTGTTTGTGACTGCTGCCACTGGAACCCAGAGAGATCGTTCAGGTAATACTTCTAATGTGTATAGGAAATTCTTAACATTTTTGGTTAGAAAATGAAAAACTTTATCAAATGTTGACATTTTTTTTATTACTGTTGAATCTAGGCTTGAATTTCTTTGTTGCAAACTCTTCTGTTGCAATTGGTCCTATGGGTTTAATGAGTTCTGTACTGTTTTGGTGAAGGTAGCATCAATCTTAAAAGTTCTGTGTTGTTTTGGTTCTTATGAAGTGTTTCTGTGCTTTTTCAAAGCTTTCTTGCTTTGAACAGCGCATGAACAAGTAATACCTGTGACTAAGATAAGAGATTTTCAGCCAAGCTACGGTAGTTCTGATGATGAGTTGCTTTGGTTTTAATGCACAGATATCGCAGGTTTTGAATACTGTGTACGTTTGTTGGGAGTGAAAGGGCCAACAGAAAAACAAATTGAGGCGGATTTTTTCAAACCTTCACTTTCAAAACAGCGTCTTGAATATGTAGTGAAACATATAAAAGAATCGTCAGCTTCTACTCTGGTAGGCTCTTCGTGTTTCTTGATTAATCATACTGTCTTTCTGCTTATTGTGAGTTCGAGTTCTTTTTACGACTTTTTAATTAATATTTCAGTCTCTATAATTGTTGCAGGTTGACTTTGGATGTGGATCTGGAAGTTTACTAGCCTCTTTACTTGACTATCCAACTTCACTTCAAACCATTGCTGGCGTTGACATCTCACAGAAGGGTCTTGTCCGTGCTGCTAAGGTATGTGAAATCTGACACCACCGTGTTTTATCCCATTCTTAGACTTAACCTGATGAGAGTAATGCATCTTAGAACTTGATATATGTTTGATCAAAACTGCATTTACACTAGTCATGGGTCGTGTAACATGTTACTCCTACATGGTTTTATTTTGTCATTGGAAAGAGATGGTACATTGAAGATTCTTGATTTGCATCAATATTTTCGCATGTTTTTATTTCAGAGGCTACATTCAAAGTTAAACAAGGGAGCTTGCAACCTCAAATCTATTATACTCTATGAGGGCTCCATCCTCAAGTTTGATTCCAGGCTGCATGACATTGACATCGGCACTTGCTTAGAGGTTCCATTCTGTTTTCTTGCTTCATTTCTTCATCAGCAGCTTCTCTAATATTCAAGATTTTGTGTAAGCTCATCAAGAAACCTGTCTTTTTGTTCTCTGGTTTTACTTTAGATATAATCCTTTTGGAATCTGTAGGTTATTGAACACATGGAGGAAGATCAAGCCTGTCAATTCGGGAAAACAGTTCTAAGCTTGTTTCGCCCGAAACTTCTCATTGTCTCCACACCAAACATCGAGTACAACAAAAATTTCCACAAGTCTGCTCCTCCAAACCACCTAAAAAACAGATCCATGTCACAGCTACCTAAATTCAGGAACCAAGACCACAAGTTCGAATGGACAAGGAAACAGTTTAAGCAGTGGGCATCTAAGCTCGCTAAACGCCATAACTACAGCGTCTACTTTAGCGGTGTTGGTGAGTCTGGTAAAGCAGATCCCGGGTTTGCTTCTCAGATTGCTGTTTTCAGACGGAAATCTTTGTCCAACGTTGTGGAGAAGGTCTCAGAAGGCTCGATGCAGCCTTATAAAGTCATATGGGAATGGTCAAGAGGAAATGGAGACAAAAAGACTAATCTTTCATAAGAGTATCAACCAGAATAGACTAGTGTCCTTTTTTCTTTCTGTTCTTTTTGAGTTTGTATGTTTTATCACTTGTCCTAGTTCTGAAATCTCCATGTTTCTTCCTTATCACACTCTTGTTTTTGGTAATATATTAGTGTTATGCATAATGCATCCATCCATTACATGAGATGGTTTTCTTCAAATTTAGGCTGCATAGATGTGTAGTGAATACAAAAATGTATTGCAAAGCACAAGAAATGTGAGAGTACTAAAACATGAACCTATAATAAGTTCACATAAATGGTATTTATTTTCTTCTAGAAAAGCGCATGGTGGATAGGGAATAAAATAAAAAAAGCTGGAAAAAGAAACGATTCTACAACATGTAAATGACCAAAACACCCTCCTCCCTCTAAAACTCCCTCCTCTGTTGCTCGCTCCTCAGTTCTTTACATGACATTCCGCTGAACTCTTTAGGTTCGTTGTTGATTCTTCTTGCTTTATGTTTGTGTGTATAGTTTTTCAACTTCTGGGCTCTTTCTGAAACTCAATTTCACTGATCCACCGTTTCTCTTCACGACGATTCGTTTGTTTTAGTGTTACACTCAAAACCCTTTTTTTTGTTGTTGTTTTTTTTTTGTCAGAACCCTCTATCTATCAGTAGTTCCTTGAAACGAAAAATCTTTGCTTTGGCTCATTTTCTTGTGTTTCGTCTCTCTGTTTTTCCCATCGCATGTGCATAAAACCTACCACAGTAATCGATTCTAGTTTTGTAATTTGGGTTTTGCCATTTTTGACTTAGCAAGACTGAGAATTTACTGGTAATTCTCTTATCTGATAATGCATACAAGTCGTTAGAATTAGAACATTGAGAATGTGGGAAGTCAAATAGATGTTGGTTCGATTTTGAACTTTTTGTTTATTTATTAATGTTTTCTATGGCTCTGATTTGAATTTTCAAGTTTGAGACTTTCTTCTTCTTCTCTTATAAACCCTAATTTCAGGGATCTGCACATTTTGCATAAAAGTTACCATCTTTGCTGATCTTTGACAATAGTTATGTGTACCCTTTGCTTGTCTCAGTGTATTAAAGAAGCTACATTGTGTTTGTGATGGCGGGTGGTGGGAAGCATACTCCTACTCCAAAGGCGATTATACATCAGAAGTTTGGTGCTAAAGCAAGCTATAGAGTTGAGGAAGTTAATGACTCTTCTCAGAGTGGTTGTCCAGGGTTAGCAATACCTCAAAAAGGTCCATGTCTCTATCGCTGCCACTTGCAGCTACCAGACTTTTCTGTTGTATCAAATGTCTTCAAAAAGAAGAAGGATTCTGAACAATCTGCTGCTGAATTGGCTCTTGAGAAGGTATGCTTTGTTGTGTATATATATATCTCTTCTGTAATGTGGTATCTCTTATGTTAACGGAGACAAGACTATTCATGTTGCAGCTAGGCATTCGTCCTCAGAATGATGATCTTACTGTGGATGAAGCTTGGGATGAAATTGTTGGCCGCATTAAGTATATATTTTCTGATGAGGTTAGTAGATCAAAAGAATTTTCTGGTTTCCATAATTTTGTAAATATGACGAAATCTTCGTTATTTATATTATCAATTATATCCCTGGACTGAAAGGTATCTGGGATATCTAAATATTAAAAGGTACTAGCATTAATGTTGTAAGCTGTTGCGATTGCAGTTTCTTTCAGCTGAGCATCCTCTGGGAGCTCACCTTAGAGCGGCATTGCGAAGAGATGGTGAACGTTGTGGATCAGTTCCTGTTTCTGTCATTGCTACATTTGATGCAAAGATTAACAGTCGTTGTAAAATTATCGATCCTTCTGTGGAATCAGATCCTTTCTTGGCCATTTCCTATGTCATGAAGGCTTCTGCAAAGTTGTCAGACTACATTGTTGTATCTCAGCATGCACTCCGAAGGAAAAATGCATACCCTTCAGAAATTGTAGAAGCACTAGCTACTCATGTATCTGATTCCCTACATAGAAGAGAAGTCGCGGCTGTATATATTCCATGTATCGATGAGGAGGTTGTTGAGCTAGATACTCTTTACATTTCATCAGACCGGCATTACTTGGATAGTATTGCTGAAAGGCTCGGATTGAAAGATGGCAGCCAAGTGATGATATCCAGGTGATTATATTGTCTTTTTTCTATTAGTTAAGTGGACATTCTTGATGTTAATCTGGTTTGAAAGTATTTTTGCTTTTCAGCAGGACTTTTGGAAAAGCATCCTGTGGTTCTGAGTGTAGATTGTACTCTGATATTCCGAAGAAGTCCTCTGATAATTCATCAGAAGCCTCTGGAAGTTCAAATGAAGACTCATCTCAAATTAAAAAATCTCGGAATGCACGAGCAAGTTACATTTGTGGTCAAGATATTCACGGGGATGCAATCTTGGCATCTGTTGGTTACCGATGGAAGTCCGATGATCTTAACTATGATGATGTAACTGTAAATTCATTTTACAGGTCCCTTCTCTCCTACCAAATTTTGCTCAGTTTTATGTCTAATTTTTTCCTTTCCACGTCTTCTTATAGAATAGATTTTGGGAATATTGCATTGGTTACATCTACTAACTCTGAAGTAATGCATTTGATGTTTGTCTTTGCCTTCCGATGAAGCACTGCATATCTTATTCTTATCATGCACTGATGCATGACACTGGCTTTGTGACTTCTGCAGAATATGTTGCGGCATGTCACCCAATGGAATCTACAAAATTTCCCGACAAGCACTAATTGCTGCACAGTTGCCTTTTTCATTCACTACAAAATCTAATTGGAGAGGTCCACTCCCCAGGGAGATTCTCTGCCTGTTCTGCCACCAGCACCGACTAGCAGAACCCATCATTTCTTCATCTACTGCTCCTGTGAAATCGTTGTCTGACATATTCAGATCTCACAAGAAGTTGAAGGTCTCAGGAGTTGATGATGCCAATGAGAATTTGAGTAGGGAAAAAGAAGATACACCAGGACTAGGGCATGGGTTTAGATGTGAAGTGAAAATTTTTACAAAGTCTCAGGATTTGGTTTTAGAATGTTCACCGAGAAAATTCTATGAGAAGGAAAATGATGCCATTCAAAATGCTTCATTGAGAGCCCTCTTATGGTTTAGTAAGTTTTTCGCTGACCTGGATGTGGATGGAGAGCAACCATGTGATACAGATGACGACCAGGATATTAAATCTCCAAGTCCAAATGTTTTTGCGGCCCCACCGATTTCCCAAAATGAACACAGTTCTGAATCAAAAACCACGAATGTGCTATCGGCAGAGAAGCATGTTCAATCTATAACAAACGGTTCCGTTGTTAGCATATGCTATTCTTTGTCTTTGGCAGTGGATTCTGAAGATTCGAGTGATGGTGAATCTCCAAGAGAAGACATTGAAAGCAATGAAGATATGGAGTCTGAGGGGGATGCTGAATATTCGGCTAATTGTGAACCCTCAATAGATCTCATTGAAAGCAATGAAGAGATAGAGTTTGAGGTAGGGACTGGATCCATGAATCCACATATTGAATCAGCTGTTACTCAGATGACTGTGGGTGAATATTCTTCTTTTAGTATTACCCCCCCTGATGCTGCTGAAGCTTTGATTTTGGCTGTTGCTTCTGATACTGTGAGAATCCGCTCGCTTCTATCAGGTAATGCTTATAATGTTTACATTTGTTGCAGGTTATAGGATACTTTCTTAAAACGATTTTCTGGTTGGAAGAAAAAAAGGTGTTTATCATATGTTGACATTTGTACTGCCTTCACCAGTGAACTTAGGTCTAGGCAACGTTATGTAAGAACCTCACGTAAAGTCTTCTGGTGAATTTAGGATTGATTTAATGTCAAAGCAAGTTTTTTTTTTTGGGCAAAAATGTCAAAGCAATTTATTTTTTCTATTCTTTCTGTTGCTCAGTATTGTATTATTTTGATGAGGTAACATCATTAGTAACAATTCACCTTTGTTGTGTCAGCTCTAGTTAGATGAAATCACAGAAAATCACAGCCAAAATTATCACAGCTTTCATGGCTGTAGGCAGAGGATGAACAAAAATTAGACCTATATCTATGACTAAGTTCAGAGATTCCATGAACATTTATATGTGATAGTGATGAATTCCTCTGCTTTTTGTGCACAGAACGTCCAAGTTTAAATTACAGTATACTTTTGTTGGGAGTGAAAGGGCCATCAGAAGAACGAATGGAGGCGGCTTATTTCAAACCTCCACTTTCTAAACAGCGTGTTGAATATGCACTGAAACATATAAGAGAATCATCCGCTTCTACTTTGGTAAGCTCTGTATATTTTAATGTCTTCCTGCTTATTGGGATTCTGAATTCAACACTTTTAAAAAACTCTAGATTGTTTCAGTCTCTTTTTGTCCTAATTGGTAAATCTTTGACAAGCGTAAGATGGCACCTCTATTCTTCACAGGTTGACTTTGGATGCGGATCTGGAAGTTTATTAGACTCTCTACTTGACTATCCAACTTCACTTCAAACCATCATCGGTGTTGACATTTCGCCGAAGGGTCTTGCCCGTGCTGCTAAGGTATACAAAAATCACACACCACTGTTCTTTATTCCCCGCTCGTAGACTTTACTTGATGAGACTAATGCATCATAAAAATTGATATGTGTTTGATGAAGACTGCATTTGCACCACTCATGAATCTCTGCATATTGTGTAATCGAAAAGAAATGGTTGGTTTTACATATGTTCTTGTGTATATTGTGTTTCAATCGCAGATGCTACATATAAAACTAAACAAGGAAGCTTGCAACGTCAAATCTGCTACACTTTATGATGGTTCCATCCTTGAGTTTGACTCCAGGCTGCATGACGTTGACATCGGCACTTGCTTAGAGGTCCTTCTATATGCTGCTATCTAATCCTTCAAATTTTGTGCATGTTCATCAAAAGCAATCTGTCTGGTTTCGGCGTAACATATAATCTGTTCCGAATCTGTAGGTTATTGAACACATGGAAGAAGATCAAGCCTGTGAATTCGGGGAAAAAGTTCTTAGCTTGTTCCACCCCAAGCTCCTGATTGTCTCAACACCAAACTACGAGTTCAACACAATTCTCCAGCGTTCTACATCAGAAACACAAGAAGAAGACAAATCCGGGTCACAGCTTCCAAAATTCAGGAACCATGACCACAAATTTGAATGGACAAGAGAACAGTTTAACAACTGGGCCTCTAATCTCGCCAAACGCCATAACTACGGTGTCGAGTTTAGCGGTGTTGGTGGGTCTGGTGAAGTAGAACCCGGGTTTGCTTCTCAGATAGCTGTTTTTAGACGGGAAGCTTCCTCTGTTGAGAATGTTGCAGAAAGCTCAATGCAGCCTTATAAAGTCATATGGGAATGGAAGAAAGATGGAGATAAAAAAGACTGATCTTTGATTAGAGTAGTAACAGCCAGAGACTATATATATATATATATATTGCAAGCAATGTGATGATGTGTTCATCATAAAAACTCAAAGCTTGTTTTGTTCTTTTGCCTTACGCTTTTGCAGAGTAATCGTAAAAATCGAACCTTTTATGTTTAAACATTTTTTGTGTCTAGGCGATTAATGGAAAATACCCTTTTTGCCCCTGCGTTAAAGTTTGTTTATTTTATTATATAAGTCCTTGTAATTTTGATCACTGTCTCACTTCTTCTTCGCTGATTCGTTTCAAAGCAAAAAGCATTTGGGTTCTTGATCTTGACGATCTCTGAGGAACACGAGAATTTGAAATCTGGCAAAATCTGTCTCGAATTTTCTCTCAGGATATTGACAGAGAGAATCGCCAAAAAATGTGTCCCTGCGAAGAGCGTCGTGCTCCACCTGGGGTTTACTATACTCCGCCGCCGGCGAGAACAAGTTATGTGGCGGCGATGCCGTTGTCGGAGAGGAGAAGACCACCGTTTTCTTGTTCTTCGTCGTCGGAGAAACGTGATCCGTTTCACATTGTTCACAAGGTTCCTTCTGGTGATTCTCCTTACGTCAGAGCCAAACATGCGCAGGTATAATGAACTTTCCCGGGAAAACAAGAAAGAGAAAATTTCTTTTGCCCTAATTTAGGGTTTCTTAATTCTTCTCCTCTTTCAATTCCTTCTCGTAAAAGCTTTTCAATATTATCGCTGAAACCAATCTTTGAAGTCAAATTTTGAGTAATCTTCTTGAATCTGTCTATATATGTATGTGATTGTGTTTTTTAACATATGTATATTATTATGTGGAAGAACAGTTGATAGATAAAGATCCGAATAGAGCTATATCATTGTTTTGGACTGCAATAAACGCTGGAGATCGAGTTGATAGTGCTTTGAAGGACATGGTAGTTGTAATGAAACAGTTAGACCGATCTGATGAAGGAATTGAAGCCATCAGATCCTTCCGGTATCTCTGTTCTTTCGAGTCTCAAGACTCCATCGATAACTTGCTACTAGAACTCTACAAAGTAATTGAAACCTCCATCTTTGTTATGCAAGTGTTATGGAGTTGTTGGATGTTTTTCTCTAGTGTTAAAACTTGGAAATGGGTTTTGGGCTTTTTGCAGAAGTCAGGGAGGATTGAAGAAGAAGCTGAGTTACTTGAGCACAAGCTGAAAACACTCGAACAAGGAATGGGATTTGGAGGTAGAGTCATTAGAGCTAAAAGGGTTCAAGGAAAACATGTTACAATGACTATCGAGCAAGAGAAAGCAAGGTGCGAGAATTTAGGTCTACTCTCATGTTATCTTGATGAGTATTTGTCTCTTGAACTGACCTTTCCATTGTTGTTTGAACATTTTAGGGTATTAGGGAACTTGGGCTGGGTTCATTTACAGTTACATAACTATGGAATTGCAGAGCAGCATTACAGGTTTGGTTTTGTTACCAAATTCCCATATATGGATATTGATTACTGTTTTGATCATGTGAGTTTTGCTTATATACAATTATCCATGGAACAGGAGAGCTTTGGGTTTGGAGCGAGACAAAAACAAACAGTGCAACCTTGCAATCTGCTTGATGCGTATGGGTCGAATTCCTGAAGCTAAATCTCTTCTTGATGATGTAAGAGATTCTCCTACAGAGAGTGAATGTGGAGATGAACCATTCGCAAAGTCTTATGACCGAGCCGTTGAGATGTTAGCAGAAATAGAATCGAAAAATCCAGAAGCTGATCTTTCGGATAAGTTCTACGCGGGATGTTCATTTGCAAATGGGATGAAGGAAAACATAGCTCCTGGAATCGCAAACAAGAACTACTCGCATGTTTCTTCTTCTCCAGCATCTGTTGTACCGAACTCTGCAGGTCTATATACACAACCTCGCGGTTGCAGAGCAGGGATGTATGAAGAAGAGACGAGAGGTGCAGCTCGAAAGCTACTGTTTGAGAAACCGAAACCTTTTGCTTCTGAACAGATTAAGATCTTAAAGAGAGGAGAAGAAGAACCCCAGAAGCGAAAGAAACTGGACCCGAACATGATTCAATATCTCCATGAATTCATCAAAGATACAGCAGATGGTCCAAAGAATGAATCTAAGAAAAGCTGGGCAGATATCGCAGAAGAGGAAGAAGAAGAAGAAAGATTGCAGGCAGAGACATAGGATCTCATTGTACCGGTGTTATCAAATTTTTGAATCATAGAATTTGTATAGGCTTTTGACATTGAAATATTTTCATAGACAAAACAAAGAAGCATAGGCAAATGGGATTACACTCCAGAACAAATCTTAGTGTTTGGAAAGAAACTCAATAACAAAACACACAAAGCACAAAAAGAGAGAATCCAATTTAAAAGAAGGAGATAAAAGAAATGAGTGCGACGAACTTACAGCTCGTGTGTAAAAGCCTTACAAAAGTAGTAATGAATCATCTTTTCTTTAAGCCTCTTCTTCTTCTTCTTCGTCCACCTCATACTCCTCTTCACCGACTGTAGCATCTTGATATTGCTGATACTCTGCAACAAGATCATTCATGTTACTCTCTGCTTCGGTGAACTCCATCTCGTCCATTCCTTCTCCTGTGTACCAATGAAGGAAAGCTTTTCTCCTGAACATGGCAGTGAACTGTTCACTCACACGCCTGAACATTTCCTGGATTGAAGTTGAGTTTCCAATGAAAGTTGATGCCATTTTCAAACCCGTGGGAGCTATATCACAGACGCTTGATTTCACGTTGTTTGGAATCCATTCGACAAAGTATGAAGAGTTTTTGTTCTGGACGTTCATCATCTGTTCATCAACCTCTTTAGTACTCATCTTTCCACGGAACACAGCGGAAGCTGTCAAGTAACGACCATGACGGGGATCAGCTGCACACATCATGTTTTTGGCATCCCACATCTGTTGAGTTAGCTCAGGGACACTCAGGGCACTGTATTGTTGGGATCCTCTTGACGTCAATGGTGCAAAACCAACCATGAAGAAGTGGAGTCGTGGGAAAGGAATAAGGTTCACAGCAAGTTTTCTAAGGTCGGAGTTTAGTTGACCAGGGAACCGAAGACAGCATGTAACACCACTCATTGTAGCTGAGATAAGGTGGTTAAGGTCACCAACTAAGGTACACCACCACATAAAAGAAAGAAGAACAATGTCAGAGTTTTCAAAACTACAATCACATGAATGTTTGAAAACAAGAGGAGAAATACTCACATGTAGGATTAGCAAGCTTCAAGGTACGGAAACAGATATCGTAAAGAGCTTCGTTATCCAAAACCATACATTCATCAGCATTCTCAACGAGCTGGTGAACAGAAAGTGTAGCATTGTATGGCTCAACCACAGTATCAGAAACCTTAGGAGAAGGGAAAACCGAAAAGGTCATCATCATACGATCTGGATATTCCTCTCTTATCTTAGAAATAAGAAGTGTTCCCATGCCAGAACCAGTTCCTCCTCCCAACGAATGACAAACTTGAAAACCTGTTCCACAAACGAATCATCCATCAGAGAATGAAATCAACAACATCATACGCTAAACAAAGCATCATAAGCAGGTGATAAACACAAACGCATCTACGAAGGAGTTTATAATAGCAGATCTAGATTCGAATGATTACTCGAACAGATCAAAATACAAACGAGATTCAGAAAACGAAAAACCTAGAAATGAAAGCGTATCTGTCACCTTGAAGACAATCACAGTTCTCAGCTTCCTTCCTCACAACATCAAGCACCGAATCAATCAACTCCGCTCCCTCCGTGTAGTGACCTTTCGCCCAGTTATTCCCAGCACCAGACTGCCCAAACACAAAGTTATCCGGCCGGAAAATCTGACCAAACGGCCCGGATCTGAGAGAATCCATAGTTCCAGGCTCCAGATCCATAAGAACAGCGCGAGGAACGTATTTGCCTCCGCTAGCTTCGTTAAAATAGACATTGATCCTTTCAAGCTGTAGATCTGTTTCGCCACATGACTGACCGGTGTGATCGATACCATGCTCGCCGCAAATAACTTCCCAGAACTTAGCTCCGATCTGGTTTCCACACTGACCTCCTTGAATATGAAGGATTTCTCTCATTTTCACCAGATGTTTTTTTTTTTTTTTTGTCCTTTCTCGGGAATCGCTTCGTCTATTTTCTCGAGAAAGTGATGAGAAAATTTGGCGACTCCCTCTGTTTATTGTTTTTTTGATTGAGGGGTATAAAAACAAAAGAGTAGTAATCGGCTATATATAGTTTACGTGCTTTTTTTCTCAAGTTTCTCATATAATTTGCATTTTAGTCCTTGAATTGTGCGTGATATTTGGTTTTATCCTGATAGTTTTTCGATTTGGTTTCCTTTATGTGCTGTTATACAGCGAATCAAAAACAAATATCTTTCCTTAGATATTTTGTTAATTTAATATAAAATCCCACAAAATCACTCGTGAAAAGATATAAAGGCAAATTGTTTTCTACGCTTTTTTATATTTTTGTTTAGATCCCTTTGCTGGTTTTAACTAATTTAGTAAGTTGATTAATGTTTTTACACCAATAATAGGCAGTTTTACTTATTTAGCAAATCACCATATTAATAAGATTAGCTGACAATAGAAATTTGAAGTAAATGGCTTCCAGGCAAATGGCAACCCGTAAATATGCTTGATATGGCGATTTTAGAATAGTTAATCTGTTGAATATATTTCAAGTGGAAAAAAATATGTGTTTTACATCTAAATTTATAATGGGCCTGATTGGTAACAGCTGTACCTTTACATTTTTTGATGTATAAATATGACCGTAGGTTTATTAGCTGTGGCTGTAGATTTTAGTGCTGTAGTATTTTGGCTGTGGAATTTAAAATTTTGGAAAGTTGAAAATTATATGCTTTAGGAAAAAAGGCTTTCTACATCCAAAAAAATGAATTAAGGAAATATTTTGGCTGTGAGAAAAAAAAGGAAAGTCAAAGCTTCTAAAGCTTGATTGGATGTATTTCAAATTTTTAGAAATTTTTTTGCTTTGTAAAAACTCTAAAGCACCTGCCAATCAGGCCCAATATAAATCAACGGTTCAAATTTTTATCTATCAGAAAGTGTTTTTAACATCTAACTATAGACACAATTTGTTGATAGGTTTAACAATAGAAGAAATTGTTCAAATTATCTTTAGACTTAAAATAGCTATTACCGGTTAACCATGTTTAGTTTACAAATAATATGGATGCATATTTCGGTTTCCAGTTTAGTTTAGTTCCATGTAATTTGTTTGCTTACAAAATGAGTATAATTGAACAAAAAAACTAAATTCTATTTCGGTTCGGTTCTAAACTAAATTCAATTTTGCTTCGGTTGGAAAAATAAATGAATAAGATTTTGAAGCTACTGTTGTAGTCATTAAAGATTGCGGAAATCGAGCTGAAAAAAATAAATTAGTTTTTGTAAAGTGTAAATCCATTTAAGTCTCATCTAAATTAATAGAATTTTTGATTCGAATTTGAATTATTGGTTCCGGTTTCAAATGTCAATGTACAAATAAAAATAGATTATTGATATTTTTGGTTCTATCAAATTTTGGTTTTTTTTTTGGTTCAGTAGAAAGTGTTAAATCTTAAAATTTGACAAGTACAGTTGTACATATTTAACAAAAATGGAAATAAATAACAAATTTTTTTAACAAAGAGAACAAAAAAAAAAAATAAAGAATTAAATAATTGGTTAAGGCACGCGTCGTCCTGTTATGTCTTTTTAGCGGTTTCTTCATCATATCTCTCTCTCTAACCTTCACTTTCTGCGCAAAGCAGAAAGAGCTTTCTTCTTCTCCATTTATTGCATTTTCTCTCCAAATGTCTAATTAATGGTTTTGATCTTCCAACCAGATCTTCTTCTCTATCTCTTCGACAAACCCTTTTTTCTGGGTTCTTCGGAGAGGTGATTTATCAAAATTAAAAAAACAAAAAGGTCTTTCCTTTTTTTTTCTTTTTCTTCGCCATGCCTTTACCTTGGAAGAAATCTAAATCTAGTCGGATCTCTAGATTCGTATCAGACCTTCAACAATCTCCTAAACATGGTGGATCTCTCGTTGTTGAAACTGGATTCCCAACTTCTTTAATCGATCTCTTCGTTAAGAATCGCGATCGTCTCAAAAAACAATCTTCAAAACGTAACAACAAGAACAACAAAGCCCAGACGACGGCTCAGACTCAAACGGTTCCGACAAAACGGCGTGTTTTGTCTCCGCCTCCTCCTCCTCTGTCTTTGCAGCGTCGTATGTCTCTTCCTTCGAAGCTTGATCCAGCTTTGGTTACAGAGGATCCTCCTTTGGTGAGTAAGATCGAGGAAAGTTTTATTCCGGAGAATAGACATGACGGTGAAGACGACGGTGGAAACGGTGGTAATCGCGGCGGAGGAGGAGGAGGGTGTGTTTTAATGGTGGTGGTGTTTAAGGTTTTTATGGTGGCTGTGCTTGCCTTGAGCACGAAGAAGCTCGCCGTGGGGATCACGCTCTCCGCTTTTTCCCTTCTCTTCCTCGAGCTCGCGGTGGCGCGTGTCTTCACGTACCTGAATCTCTGTCCAGACGCGCAGATTCGGATAGATTCATTGATCGATAAACTCATAGGGAAGCGACATAAAGAGAAGCTAGAAGAAGAAGAAGAATCGTTATCAACGCCTGACAGAAGAAACAATGTCTCGTCTGAAATCATCGAAGAACCTAGAGAGGAAATTAGAGTCGTTCCTCAATCGGATTCGTCGACATTGGAGAAGGCTAAACCTTTGGTGGAGGAGAAGAAGGACGTGCAAACGATAAGAGATGTTGTGTTTAAGACTGAGAAAAGCAAAAGCGCGAAGCTGAAATCAAAGATTGTGAAGAAGATTGTTCCAAAAAAGTTGAGGAGTTATAAGAAGAAGAAGAAGATGAAGATCAAAGAAAAAGAAGAAGAAGAAGCTGAAGTTGAAACTGAAGAAGAAGGGTCTGTGACAGAAGTATCAAGCTTGTTTTCAGATGAGAGAATCGGAAGCGAAATCTCTGAGAGAGATGATTTAAGTTCGAATCCGCCATTGTTAGAGAGTTGTACAGAGATTGAAGAAGAAGAAGAAGAAGAAATTGGATCAAAAGGGGATCTAACGAAAGCGATGGTTCTGATAGTGATTATTCTTGTTGGATTGTTAAGTGGGAAAGTCTTTGCTATTGGTCTGACACTCTCTTGGTGTCTGATTCTCACAGTGTTCTGCTGCAAATCTCAAACCAGTCTCTGAGACAGAGGAAAAATAAAAGATTCAGACTTTGGGTTCTTTTTTGTTTGTCTGTGTCCGTGGCAGTGGTGGGCCTTAGGAATCGCCGTTAGTTGTTGACGGTGACGGTGTTGACGGTAGAGAGACGGTGGAGGAAGTGTTGTTGTTGGGTGGTTGGCAGTTCGAAGCTATAACAATTGGTTTGCTTATGAAACTGTAAATTTTTTTTGTTTTAACAAGAGTTATTATATGATGGTCAAAGAGTCAAAAGATGTTGTGTTAAAAAAAAAAAAAAACTGGTGAATATATTAAAAAATGGTCATAATGTTGATAATGAAAGGGCAGAGCAATAACGTTTGTGTCGGCCAAAAAAGCACTAACTTGTGGAATAGTTTTTGTAAGTTTGTTTGTGGCGATATTGACGGAGACACATGATGACATGACCGAATTTACTTAGTCGTGTTTTAAAGACAGATTTATTCGATTTTATTGACTTCTTAAAACATTTGATACGTTCAAGATAATCTTGGTTTTTTGATATGGCGTATTGTCTCGGATTTGTCATCCCCGAATGAATCGTGCGGCTCTAGCATTTCTTTTGTCTTCACTTTCATAAGTGTTTAATCAACTTTCCGAAATTTGAATCCAATCCTTCTAAAAAAAAGTAACTTTTAGAAAGAGGATGTCGAAAGTATAATAATCTTGAAATAATTTGGTAGGTGATCTACAAATGAATGAATGATTATTCTGAAAAAAATCACATTCTTCAATATTTAAGATTGTTTTTATTAAAAACCTAAAAATATGTTGAAACTGCATGACTTGTTGCTTCTTTTTTAGTTTTTGGGTTCAACCTCTTTCGCTTGTGGTTTGAAATCTTTTGTTTTGTGCTAGTACTGTTTTTAGTTTCCCATCAATAGGGCTTAGCTTCCGGAGAAATTTCGTCTTCCGCCGGTTTTGATTCCGAGAACTTTCATGTCGTCCGCCTGCTTTAGTTTCCTTCTTTTGGGCGTTGTATTCCATATGGGTTCCATTTCAAAATCATTAATAAAATTCTAGATGAAAAAAAAAAAAATGTTGAAACTGCATGACTTTTCTGAAAAATTGCGAGTTGCAAATTTGTTTTTACAAGAATGTAACAGAATATAATGGAACGAAGACAAAAAAAAAAAAAAAAAAAAAAATTCAATAGAGATAGTTGATCTAGATTCGTCAATAAGAATCTCAACGTTTGTACACAAATTTTTCTTGTAAGTTCATAAATGTCACACTATTTTCTATGTATTCGGATTTCAAATACTCCTACTATCTTACTGGTAAGTGGTAACTAAAGAAAATAAGAAAGAAGATCTAGTAAACTATAGCCATGATTGAGCTACAAAACAAGAAACTTGGAGCTTATATTAAGAAGATTGCATATTCCATGGTGAATCGTATCTAAGACAAGTATCTTAGTTGTGGACATTTAAGAAGAAAAAGAAAAACAAAGTCTTTTTTATTAAAAGGGTTTTAAATAAGTACTAATGTTGTATACGAAGGAATTGCATTGATTAATAATATATCAACTTAATTGAAAATTTGAAACTCCCTAAGTGCATATGCTAATATTTATATAGTGGAAAGCCTCATTGTTATATCATGGCTACCATTAAGGTTTTTGGCTATGTCTAATAACTCATATATTTAAGCAATTGCTTTCGAATGATACCTTAGTTGAGTAGTTGAACGTTCCCAACAGAGGTAAAGGGTATAAGTCCATATGCGTGTCCACATATGTATTTCTTTGCTCATATAAAACAACACATCACATCCAAGTCTGTATCGATGAACATTTTTATTCTGTAGTTTATTCGATGACATTTAACTCCTATTCTATAGTTAGATTATTTTTATTTGGCAATCCTTAACTTTCAATTAATTGTATTAAGATACTGTTGAATTTTTATTATGACTTCATGGTTAGCTAACTCACAAAAAGGTTCAAAACTTCAATTTTAATTTTTGATATCAGAGTCTACAATGACTATCTATTATGGATGTTTGATTATTTATTTATTTTCTTTATGAACAATGAGAAACGTTAGAAACAATAATTTCGTAATAAGGTAGAGAGATCAGTAATAGAGTTCTCTACAGAATTTATTCATCTAATCTTTGGTTGGTGATACTTAAGCAAAAGTCCCTTATTCATAGACTCATAGGCTCATAGACACATAGTAGTAGTAGTCATAGACTCATGCTCCATAGAGAAGAGAAAAAACCTTTCTCTGAAAGTGACAAGAGATAGCTTCATGAATCATCATATTAATTAATGGACCGACCAACCCTATGATCAATGTTGGCTAGCCATACTTTTTTGTTTTATTTTTCGATTTTCCAAAATACAAAGCGGCTCTGTGATTTGGTGCTGAAGAGGCTTTTAGAAATGGGCGAATTGCAAAAATAACATTTTCTGATAAATTAATTAAGAAAATTAAAACTATGGGATTTAAAAGGTAGTAGTAATTAACCACAGAGAATAGTATAATGACTAAATTTGCCTCTTTGGTAGTGGTAATGATAATGGTTGTAGCGGTAGTGATAATAGTTATGGTAGTAGTAGTGGTGACGATAGTGGTAGGCGGTGGTGATGGCTGGCGGATGAGGCGATTCATTTAAAAAAAACGGTGGTGGTGGCCGGCAGTAGTGGTAGTTTGTTTAAAAAGAGGTAAAAGTGTATTAATATCCATTATACACACAATAATAGTATAAAATATTTTTTCAAAAGAGGTAAAATTGTATTAATATGCATTATACACACAATACATAATATCACTATTTTTGCTTATTCACTTAATTCATAAACTTTGGTGGTTTTATTTGAAATTTTCTATTTAGAAACTAGAAAAAGTGTCATGTGTTTTCCAAAAATTAAACGTTTTTTTAAATAGCAAAATAATTTATATCTGTTCTATATATACAGTTGGCGTGTTCTCCTAGAAACAACATAAATTTAGAAATTACTCTTTTGATTTTCTTTACAAGACAATTATTAATTTTACAACTTTTTTAAAATAGTAAATAAATTGTTTTATATAGTAGTAGAAAATAAAAGATAATGACCTTTGTTTGTATACTAAATATTTTAATGGCTAAAACAGAAAAAAAAGAAAGGAGAAAACGTGGGCCGAACATTATCAAGAAAGAGATTCAAGCGAAGCATATAATCCCACCCTTTCTGGTGACAGAGTGTTGTTTGTTTGTTTCCCTTCTCAATTGGAGAGAGTAAGCGAGTCTCTTACGCCGAGAGAGAGAGGCTTGTTTGTTTTTCCTCTAAGGTAATAACAATCCTCAGATCTCTTCTCCTCAATTTCTTCCGGTTTCTTCTCTCAGATTCTATCTTTCTCAACATCTATCTCTTCCCCGATTTATAGATCTTTTCTGCAAAAAGTTCGGGACTTTTTTCGTTAATTTCGAAGAATGTTGGCCTTTTTCTTCGTCTAGGTTTCTGTATCTCTCGTGGGATTTGATGATTTTCTTTTGATTTGATTAAATCCTTCTGAAAGTTTTGTTCTTTAATACATTGTCAAGGTTCTCTTCGTTGATTGGTAATGATGAGAATGTTGCCATCACATTAGCTTTTGTTGGATCATTGACCCTTGATTTGATTTGTTCTTTGTTTGTCTTCTCTTTTGCAAATCGAGCTTTACCAATTCCTCAGATGCCAAATGCAGTCTTTTGTTTTTAGATTCCCATTAAAGCAATAGAGTTTCTGTGGAATCTTTTTTTGATGTTGAATTTGTCAATTTGGATGATGAATTGCACATCTGGTTTAGGGTCTAATGACTCAACTAACAGCTTTATGTTATATGTTATCCTCTGATGGAGGTTTTGTCAAAACTTATTTGTATTTGAATGAGTACTGTTTCAAATGAGCAGAATTTTGCAACACAGTAGGATTATCTTTTGTTGATTTGGGATCGATTTGATTGGAAATTTCTTTTATGAGTTAGCACTTAAATCTTCTAACATTAAGATTTGACATTTTCAATGCTTGTTCTGTACAGTACTGCAATGTTTTGAATCCTGGAACCTTTTAAGAAAAACTTAATATTTCTTTGTAGGTATATACGCATTTAAGATTTTTGCGTTTGGTTCTTCTTGCAGAAACAATCAGTCTCATAAGGTGGCAAAGATGGTTGCAGAACGATACACGGTCGATTTGAATAAGCCACTTGTCTTTCAGGTGATGCCCTCAATCACTTCTTTTCGGCCTAGCCTTTTTTCATCATATTAGATCGACTAGAGAAAGTAACAAATGGAGAATTCTCTGTCAACCTTCAAAGCTGTTTGGTATATTCTTTTTTATATGCAATGCTTATCAATTTACTGATACAAAGAAACTTATATCCTTGTCAGGTTGGTCATCTTGGAGAAGAATATCAGGAATGGATTCATCAACCTATTGTATGCGTAGAGGGTCCTCGTTTTTTTGAAAGTGATTTTTGGGAGGTAACAACTCCGCCCTTTTAAGATTTATCTTCCTATGTGTAAGCTTCCATGTTTTGATTGAATCTTTTTTTTTGGGGAATTTGAGCAGTTCTTGACTCGCACGGTTTGGTGGGCAATCCCAACAATCTGGCTTCCAGTTGTTTGCTATGTTCTTTCAATATCGGCGAGGAAGGGACTTACAATTCCCCAGATCGGTTTAATAGTTGCCTTTGGTGTACTCACGTGGACACTTCTCGAGTACACGCTTCATCGTTTCCTTTTCCACATCCAAACCAAGAGTTACTGGTTAGTTCTGTATCTGTGATTATGTAATATAAAAAAAAAACGAGTTTCATCATGAAGCTGATTCTGTTTCATTTCAAACCCTTTTTTTCTTCAGGGCAAACACTGCACACTATCTTCTTCATGGATGCCATCACAAGCACCCACAAGACGGTCTTCGTCTTGTTTTCCCTCCTACCGCAACAGCTATTCTCTTGGTTCCAGTAAGTATCCATGCTTGATCCAGATCTGAAATCTCTTTCATTCATTCTTTACATCAAAACGGAAACTTATATTGATGCTCTTCTATTTTCCGTTGTTAGCTATGGAAGCTTCTCCATCTGTTAGCTACTCCTGCTACAGCACCTGCTATTCTTGGAGGCATATTGTTTGGCTATGTGATGTATGATATTACTCATTACTATCTACACCATGGTCAACCTAAAGAACCAACCTTTAAACATCTTAAGGTAAGAATACTCATCTCTAAACATCTCCGCTTTTTTTCGCATTCAAACTTATTCCTCTGCATTCCTGATGAGGTTTGTTATATACGTTTTACAGAAATACCACCTGAATCATCACTTTAGGATTCAGGACAAAGGATATGGAATCACTTCCTCTCTATGGGACAAAGTATTTGGAACACTTCCCGGTATAAAGGCCGCCCAGAAGAAAAGCTAAACCGGAATTCTGTTTACCATTTTTCAGAGTGTTGAAAACTCACTGATATTGTGTATTCTGATTCATCAGGTGATACAATGACTGTTTAACTACTGTATACGATCATCTATTCACCAATTTGAACATATTTAGTGGTTTAATATCATTCAAAATTTGGTGTTTTAGCAAATTATATCTTAACAATTCTGAAAGAGATTAAGAATTCCTTTTTGGTTTTAGTTACGGTTTGTTCATCGAAAAATTGAAATCAAATCGGTTTATTCTTATAACTATTACAATTGTAGCAGAAAACATAAATGAATCTGGTTTTGTGTTGAGGAATCAAAACAGAGGAGGAATACTCTGTTCGTTCCTGAAGAAATTTGTGGGATCAATCTTCCCTTTAACCAAACCCAATCTCTTGAAGTTACCTTTGAAATATGTCTCACCCCATTTCCTCGCATCTTCGAAACTCGTATTGATCCCTTTGGTCGAGCCCAAATCAAGATCTCTGTAATTCAAATAAGCTCCTCTCGGTGATTTAGAAACATACGGAGTCATGTAATCGTGTAGCGATCTCACCCACCTAACATGTTTGTTCATCTCCTCGACTTCATTCACTTTCCATTTCACCATGTACTGTATATTATACAGATTCCCTCTCCTGTGTGGATATGGAGACTCTGTTTCTGGAATCTTGCTGATTTTCCCACCCAATGGCTCGAAGATCATCAATGGAGTATCTTGCTCGAGAAATCTCTTGGTTACTTCTTCGAAAACGTTTTCAGGAACGGGTTTTTGAACATAATCTGATTTTGCTTTGAAATACTGATCTTCGAATCTTAGGTCTCTGTTGAGCAAAATCTCTAACGGCTGTCCTGATCTCCAGTTGAAGAACATTATCGATTCGATCCAGCTCATTTCCGAGCAGTCTTGAGATCGTAAACCGAGTTCCGGAAACTTCTGGTTCATTAGGGGAATCAGTCTATCGATTCCACCAAGAAACAGAGTTTGAAATGTTGATTTCACTCTTCTTTGATTCCCTTCTAGACTGTTATCAATAATGACTCTGATGAATAAATCTTCGTCTAGCTCTGATCCTATGGATTGCCATCTATGAACAAGCTTGTTCATGCTCGGTCCCATCGTATGTTGACTTATGAAACAAGTAACCTTTTCAGGAACCCTAGCAAGCTTAACCTTCCATGACAAGACAACGCCAAAACTTGCAGCTCCACCGCCTCTTAGCGCCCAAAACAAATCCTCCCCCATCGTTTTCCGGTCAAGAATTTTCCCATTTACGTCCATCAAACGCGCGTCTACAACGTTATCAGACGCTAAACCGTGTTTCCTCATTATTGTACCGAATCCTCCGCCGCTAATATGCCCGCCAACACCAACACTTGGACAAATCCCTGCGGCAAAGGCATGGATCTTGCTGGTTTTCGCGATTTTGTAATAGAGTTCGCCGAGTGTTGCGCCCGATTGGATCCAAGCGTTGTCGTCTGTGAGGTTGAGGTTGATCGATCTGATGTTAACGAGGTCAACGATTATGAATGGTGATTGTGAGAGGTAAGATAGACCTTCGTAGTCATGACCACCACTCATGGTTCTTACTTGTACTCCAAGTTTCCTGCTGCATAGAATTGATTGTTTGATTTCGGATTCGGTTTTCGGTTTTACGATCAGAATCGGCTTCAAACTGGTGAAATTCAAGTTTAGGAAACTTGAATTTGGAGATGAAGATTCAGAAAAGTCGGTGTAGACTCGGGAATCTGGTTTATGAGTGGTGAGATTTATAGGGTTTTGGAATGTGGAATTGAATTGTTTTGTGGACAAGCAATTTTGGAATTGTTCTCTTGTTGGAGTAGAATAAACAGATTTGACACATTGAACTAAGAAGAGAAGAAGCAGAGATAGAACAAGCTCTCTCATATCTATTTTTGGTTTCTTGTGTTTGAAGTCTCAGACAAAGAAGAAGTAATGTTCTTGATCCTTGTCTGGTTTAGAAAGTTTCTAAAGATTTGTTGAGAAACTGAATGAGTTGCAGAGAACAAGAGTTAATGAGGTTATATAGATTTTCAATTTTGGGATTATTTATTTGACCAAAATATTAAATCAACGTCATTATTATAGGAATATAATACGATTATTTTGACGAGTAGCTAAAACAAAGACGTTAGCTTCGAGTCAAAAGTAGACCATTTGCGAAGTTGATGTGGAATGGTGATCACCATGTACGCGTTTAACAAATATTGCAATTTTTCAAACGTGGAGATAATTATTACTTGATGGAAAATAATTTGGCTCATTATTAGATGTAGACTTCCATTGTTACAAAAAGCCAACCAAAAAAAAATATCAATAATAAATCAGAATTAAAGGGTATCTCCTTTTACAGTTATATCCATTTTAAGTAATTTTGTCAACTTTAGAGCTTAGACTAATGTCTAGTGATTGGTGGTTTGTCAAGAGTCATGGTGTAGCTAGATATTATTACACAAAAATGACTTCTAACAAATTCGAACTTAGTTTAACTCCCAACTAATCATAATATATGTTTCAGAAAAACAAATTCATAAAAATGGATTTTTATATTTGAAATTTGTGTAATATTTTGTATTTTGTCCTTATTAATTAGAGTTAAAATGAAGAAAACATTATAAATATAAAACTCTAATATATAGGATTTAGTAAAAACTAGTTTAGCACGTGTACAAACTCTTTTTTTTGTAATGGATAGTGATGGATTATTTAAATACAAGAAACCAAAGCTACAACAATCTATGAAGTGATTAAAAAAAAAAAAATTACAAATCTTGTCAACCTAAAAAATCCTATAATTTTTTTTACTCTATTAAAGAATTTTTCTCTGACTCACACTCATCAGCATTGTGTTGGAAGCTAGCTTCATCAGATGCGAAGTCACATTGCTCAGTCTTGTAACCAATGGTGATGTTTATAAGCTCCATCTTCCTCTTCTGCCGAGAACATGTCGAGACTACTTGTGTCTTCTTTGCAGATGGCTTCGAGTCTTCATGTATCTCATTTTTTGATGCTGCGTTTTTTTTGTGTACAAACCCTTAAAAGATCTTTTTTTTTTGTGCCAACGATCTTTAATATACATAACTTTATAAAACAGAATGAGTAATTTACAAGTTTATTGTGTCATAGTTTTGGTGATCTTCTGGATAACAATATTTTCTAGATTAACAATATGACTTAAGCTTAAAACCTACACAAACGGTGTAAATTCCACAATTTTATTCTTAGAATACCTAGTTTTTCCTTGTATAAAACTTGTTGTGTTATATACATAACTGGAGCAAATTAAAATATAGTATCAAGTTGCTATTATGAAACAAAGAAAAGTATACGTCTGATTCTCTTAACCTCAAAGGAATTAAAAAATGACGTATTTCATTATACAATTTGATCTCACTATGAGAATATAAATAAGTAATAAAAAATAAAAGAAATGAAGCGTTAACGTCGTCATGCTTGATGTCAACTCTCTGGCATTGCTAAAAAAACGTGTCAACGTTCTTACTTTCTGGAAGTCTTTGATTTGGTGATACATTGAATGAATATATTTATAGTGTTACAAATAGATTCGTTGTTGTACTTCTCTTACAACCACAGACACCTAATCCAAATCAAGATTCATACTTGTCTGGATATATCATAACGAAAACAAGACAACAAGAAATAGTTTATTTTTCATATAAATAAATCACAATTTATTTATTTATTTATTTATTATTATTATTATTATTATGAAGGAAATTTTGCCAAATGTACCACATTTTGGGAAAATCCTAGCAAATATACCACATTTGAAATGGATTTAGCATTCATACCACATTTGGTGTTTGTGTGGCAACTCTTGGACGATTTTGCCCTTCTCTAAGCGTCATGTATGTGTTAGGGAAGGAGCTACAGTAGACGCCGGTTGGGAAACAGGGACAACTTTGTGTCAGAGAAGGACAACTTTGTGTCAGAGAAGGACAACTTTGTCTGAAAGACAACTTTGTGTCAGAGAAGAAGGACAAAACATTGCATTAAATGCAGTTTATATTTACCGTGGACAATAATTATGAAATAGAGTGAATGATGTCCCCCAAGAATAAGTCAAGATCTCTTGATTGTCCATCGTCAGATGATGTGGTTTTACCAGCCAGAGATCTGGATTTACTCGGGGACAACTTCTCTTGATTTTCCATCGTCAGATGATGTGGTTTTACCAGCCAGAGATCTGAATTTACTTGGAGACAACTTGATCTTTATTTTATTCCGCCAAAGAGCCGAAGAAGAAGATCTGGATTTACTCGGGGACAACTTTGTTTTACAAGAGGGACGAAAACGGTTACCAATGCGTTAGGAGAGAGACTGTGGACGGCAGAAAATTCGGAGAGTCTCATCAACCGCAGGGTCTTGTCTCAGTAAGTTGGAGGGTAGAATCGTCTTTTCACATGATGAATGTGGTATGAATGTTAAGTGGACTCAGAAAGTGGTACTGAGCCTAAACTTTTTGAAAAAGTGGTATTGGAGCTAATTTTCCCTATTATGAATATAATCAATATTCATATAATTTATTTATTATGATTATTTTCTCGTTTTTTTTCTCTTATGACATCTGAAGAATTGTTTGTTTTATTTAGGTGGATGGAGGATACTACTCAAAGATGTAAAAATCTTTGGAATAAGAGCATGAATGAAGCCTTAAGAATGATTGTGGTCGTGTTAGTGCATGTACGTGTGCGTAAATACCACAAAAAAGAACGATTGCTTTTAAGAAAAAAATGATCCGACCTTAGAGCATTAATAACGTTGGTATGCTATGAGATTTTTTAAAAGACAAAAAATAATAATATTTTAATTTTGTAATTATATTCTAATATTTTAATATAAATAGACCATTGGTAGAGCTATACGTGTTTTTAGTTTGTAAGAATGTTTCTTGTGTAAGAGTTTTTAGATATTCTCTCTCTTTCTTCTTTTAACTTTTTATTATTTTTCTTTATTTTTATTGCTAAGAGTTATACTAAGAAACGTACGTTAATGGTGTTCTTATTATAACAAAACAAAAACAAATTGAATGCTTTTTTTTTGTTTAACATAAGCTTAAAAAGAATATTGCTAGGGAAATTGAATTTAAACTTAAATTGTATTATATAATATATAT